AAGAGAGAATCAAGATGTGGAATAGGGTAAAGACATGTCTAAACAGATGGAGAAACATTAACCTTTATGAAGCAGAGAGGGCACATTCCAGGAAATAGGAGAGGACAGAAAAACAGCAGAGGGGTACCTGGAGACTGACAGACACAAGAAAGCAACAAAAACAACAATGTGGTGACGCAGTGACAGATACCCCAGCAACATTCAGCAAGCAGCAATCTGAACTTCAGCAGCAGCCGGAATTCCACCAGCAACCAGGTGGAAAGGGACTTTCACTGAGAGCTCGGAAGGTAAACCCAGACAAAGAACTGCCCATCCTGCTAGTCTATTTGATTTCACCAAGAGCAAAGAAAGAGCAGCAGATCCCAGACAGGCAGTGCGGGAACAGGGTGGATGTCACCACCCAGTTTGCCCCCTAGAGCCAAATCAGGCACCATTTTGTTTAAGGAGGAAAAGATAAGGGAAAGGACTGAACACATGGCATCCTACAGGTTCCACCCAAGGCAGGTCCGGGTAGCCCTCAGACCCCATGGCCAGCAGGTCAAGAACTCTAGTAGTAGCACATCATGTGCCATTTTGTACAGTGTGGAAGAAGTTTTAGGATCACAGGGACAACAGTGAGCTTTGCATGTGCTGGGCTTGCAAGAACTCACTGAGCTCAGTGCATTGCACTGGTCCCACAGGAAAGTAATACTGAGTATGGCATCGTACAGGTCAAAATAGGTCCGAGTGGCCCTCAGACCTAATAGCCAACAGGTTCCTGCAAAATTACCACCAGCAACAACCTAGCTAAATACGACTCCAGGCGTCTCCCTAATCCTGTAACTGCTCCAATCAGAAGTGTGAGAAAGATTGTACAGGCAATGGTACAGCCTCAGCAGTGTCACAGGAGGTGGAGAGCTGTGAGCCAGGAGCTGGGGCTACAGAGACCATGGTGGAAATCTAACATAAGGACCCAGACCTGGAACTCACTGGAGAGCATGGCACAATTGGCTGCAAAGAGCCGTGTACCAACTGCAATAAAAACTGTAGACCTGTGGGTGACACAGCTTAGAAACCTGCCCCAAGCAGAAGAATCTGATAAATAGAAGTACAATGACCAAGCACAAAAGAAGAGACAAAAACAAAATGAATATTACTGAAGACTCCCCTGCAAAGGAGCAAAACCCTATGCCAACTTCACAGTTAACTGAGGAAGAAATCAAGAAAAGGGGGGATACAGAATTCAAAATACTTGTTATAAAACTTCTTATCAACCATGAGAAGCACGTAAAGCAGGCATTCAAGGAATTTAAGGAATATGTCACACTGGAAATGAGTCAAATGAAAGCTGAGACATTAGAAATGAAGAATACAGCGGAGCAAATTAAAAGTACAGTGGAGAGTCTCCAAAATAGAATCAAACAAGCAGAAGAAAGAATCTCAGAATTGGAAGATATTTCCTGTCAACAGGGAGAAACAAAAAGCTGGAAGCAGGCTAAAAAAAATATTCAAGAATTGAAAGACACTAATTAGAGGCCTAATAGAAGAGTTATGGGAGTCCCAGAAGATGCAGAAAGAGAAGCTGGGTTTACAAATGTATTTAATGAAATAAGGGAAAATTTCCCTCATCTGGAGAAAGAATTGGGAAACAACATCCAGGAGTGGGCATAGAACTCCCAACAGGGTTGATTAAAAGTGATCTTCACCAAGACACATGATCATCAAGCTCTCTTCAACCAAACATAAGGAAAAGATCCTTCAATGTGCACATGAAAAAAACTGACATAAAGGAATGCCAATTAAACTCACAGGAGATCTCTCACAGGAAACTCTACAGGCCAGAAGAGAATGGAGCTACATTTTCCAGGATAATGTACCCAACAAAGCTTTCTTTTGTCATGAAAATGAAATAAAACTCTTTCACAGTTAAAAGAATTTGCCTCTTTCAAACCTGCCCTACAAATGATACTTAAAGATGTTCTCTTGACAGAGAGGAGGAATAGCACCCACCAAAACCAAAGGCAAATGTGAAGAACATCCCTGTAAAATGACAACAGAAGACTAAATCAATGAACAAACCATTGTTACAATGACAGAACCAAAGTACCACCCATACATATTAACCCTGAATGTAAATGGCTTAAACTCAATCCAATGTCATAGATTAGTACACTTGATTAAAAACAAAACCCATCTGTTGCCTACAGGAGACATATTTCAGTAACAAAGATCAGCAGAAACTATGTCTCATGGATTTGGATTTTGTAGTTTCATCTCTTCAAAACACTTTCTTCTGATTAAATTCTTCAGTGACTCATAGAACATATAGTAGCATTTTCTTCAAGAAGGTTCTTGATTTTCTTTTTCATTTCTTCAGTGATACATTAGTCATTCAATAGCATATTACTTAACTTCATGGTGTTTTTAATTTCTTTTTTTCTTCCTGTTGTTGATTTTGTATTGTGGCTTTTCATTGACGGGGATGTATAGTAACTGTGTAATGGAGACTGTCATATCCAGATGTGAGGATACAATGCAGTATGCATCTCTACTTCCAGGTCAAAGATGGACTCCCAATGAAGGGGATGTATAGTAGCTGTGTAATAGAGACTCATATCTAGCAACATGTTATTTAACTTCATGGCATTGTAAATTTTATTTTCCTTCCTATTCTTGATTTTGTATTGTGGCTTTTAATTAATGTACAATAACTGTGAAATGGAGACTAACATATCCAGATGTGAGGATACAATGCAGTATGCATTTCTACTTCCAGACTAAAGATGGACTCCCAATGAAACTGTTTACTATATAATAATGCAATGATGGGCTCTCTGCCATTGTCCATGTCCACAATAATGAACATATGTATGAAGAACTATACTTATTAATGATATAGGGGAACTCGGTGGGGGGGACCAAACTTGGAGAGGGAATAAGGGAAATCCCAATGCCTATGGAACTGTATGCATCATAAAATGATAATAATAATGATAAATAAAAGATTTTTTAAAAGCTTAGAGGAAGGTATTTGGGATAAGAAGGGAGAGAAAAGAGAGCAGACTGAAGCACAGTAAAGCAAGAGAACACTACCAAGAAGCTATCAAATGACTGCGAAGACATTGCAGAAGCTTTCTTTTTCTGGGAGCTTGAAAGGGACTTTTCAGTAGAATGTGAAGCAGAAGCTATATTTGGGCAGTGAACAAAAGGTACTGTGCTACTTTGCCATTTACTTCCCATATGTAGTCAATTATTTATCTTCTATATACAATAAACTATTACATATAAAGTGCCTGAGTACCTTTATATAGCAATGGCCTAATGGGACACAGCATACAATCATGCACTGCATAGTAATGATAAAAAGCTCTGGCCAAGAACAGACAGTATATATGATGTTCATTTCAGATTATATCTCTCAGTGATGTCATAGCTGGCTTAGTTTGTTTACATTCTGAGATGTTCCCACTATGATAAAAACACCCAACAACACAATTTTCAGAATGTATCCTTTAAGTTACATGTGACTGATATAAATCATAAGTCACCCTAAGAATACCACATAAATGTACCTATCACAACATGCATCTTCCCTACCTAGGTTCAAAATATTTGTCTAATTTTTTTTCCTCTGCTTGTCTTTGAAAAAACAATTGCAGTGTTATGACATACCAGGTAAAGCCACTGCCTGTGATGATGGCATCCCATATAGATGCCAGTTCATGTCCCAGTTGTTCCACTTCCAGTCCAGCTCCCTGATAATGGCCTGGGAAACGCAATGGAAGTTGGCTAGAGTACTTGGGCCCCAGCAACCACAAGGAGACCCAGAAGAAGCTCCTGGCTCCGGCCTGTCTCGGTCCTGGCCATTGCAACTGCTTACAGAATGAAGCAGCCAATAGAAGACATCTTTCTTTCCCTTTCTCTCTCTCCTTTCCCCTTCCCTTCCTCCATTTTCCTCTCCCTTTCCCATCACGTTTCTCCATAACCATCTCAAATAAATAGGTAAATCTTTAAAAAATAGTCATTGTAAACTTAGAATCTGACTTGACATCCCAAGAAAGATTGTTGGATGTGCCAGAGGAAGAAAAGAGGTAGCAAACTGACTGTTTGGAGGATGAATTATAGGGTAAAGCTTCTGTCACACTTCTTGATACAAGACTAAATTATTTTTCTTTTTACTATTTTTTTTTTATTTTAGACAGTGTTTATATAGTCAGGGTGGGAAGGATCTAGGGTTAGGGAAAAATGGGTGTGATCATTGCTTCTAAACTCTATTTTTTCTTCTCTCATTTCTGGGAGTCCGGGGGAGGTAAGGGAATAGACCATACACAGCCTCCCAACCATCCCAGTACCCGAAGGTGGGGAAAGGCCACCTGGTATCAACCCAGGGTCACAATGTGGTGCATGTTCCAAGGGTTCTGTGCAGGTGGATGTGATAGTTCTGAAATGCTGTCAATCCCACTGATCTGTGGGTGAAGAATCCTGATGTCCGTTGGCTGACACCATCGACCTTACAGTCTCCAATTGCTCAGATATTTGCTGTCATAATTTTACTGGGATAGTTGTCCATATTTTCTGTCTTCCATTCTCTGCTTTGGTGCCAGATGTCCTGTGCAGGCCCCAATGGGCTACCATGTCCTCCATGTGCACCATGGTCCGCTGTCTAGCACTCCATCCTCTACACAGAGGAGGACTAGTCCTCCTAGGTGGGTACACGTACCTGAGCTAGGTGACCTGACCCAAGCCAGATCCCCCACCCCTGGGGCTCATGGATCCTATACCCACTGTGCAGGCAGGCCCAAGGCCCCTGGCCATGAAACCTGAACCCCCCCCCCCGGCATCCTCCAACCCCCAGGGCTCATGGACCTGGCATGCACCACACAGGTAGGTCCAGTGACCTGGGCCAGGAGACCCAGGACCCCTCTGGACCCCCACCCCTGGAGCTTATGGATCCAGCATCCACCACGCATGTAAGACTAAATTCTCCATCTTCCTCTTGCTCTCTCTCCCTGTCCTTCCAGTGGAATGGAGCATATCTAAAGACTTTTCCCCACTGGCTGGAGAACTCATCATGGACAACCTACAGAACCTGAGATGCACGATCACAGGACTAACAATGGTAAATAATTCTCAAAAAGGCACAACCACCACATCATTGCCAATGTGGTTCTGGGTTGTGGGCAGTAGATGCCTTCTCTGGGAAACATTCAGTCCTCCTGTAACAACCGTCACTCGTTAAGCATGATATGTCTGATACTCATAATCTGAATTTCACAAAGGAGTAAGTAAACTGCATGAACCACTTCATAAGCTGCCATGTGCTAAGGAGATGAGAAAATGCCTCATGCAAACCTTGAAAGATGCTGCAGCCTGCATCACAATCTAATCGTCAGGAGGATCAAAGGCTTAGAGAGATCCCATGTTGATTCCCTGATGGTGAAAATAGCAGTCTTGTCTACCTCTTGACTGATACCCTACATCCTTGTCTGAGATCAGTCATCAATTAGAGTCACACAATTTCCTGTGAGAATATCTCCTTACATGAACAAGAAAATTATCTAAATCTGCTCTATAAAAAAAAAGAATAACTTAAACCAATTTAAACTGTGAATGAAACTAGAATAACCTATGCTTATTTAAGTAATCTAAACTCAAGCATTAATTATGAAGGAACTATGTCCCATGCAGTTGAAATTGAAATGCAAAGAGCAAGAACATCTAACAATCAGTTCAAACTGAAACAAGCCATGTATTTCCTCAATTAGGACACAGAAGGAAAATTAAAATTTTTAATCAAAATCTTTTTAGGGTCAACAAAGTTTCATAGTCTTGGTCTAATTCAGGTATCTTAAAGTCTTTACTTGGGATTGACAGACCATTTTCTTATTTTCTTAAAAGTCAGTCAATTAAAAGTTATTTGCCACAATATAATAGTGAAACTAAGCATTTAAAAAACTATATGAGGTTGCATCTTTTTAGGTTTGAAATAGCTTCTTCTAATAGAATTCCTGGTGGTTGGGTCACCACCACAGAATCCTGCCTTTTGGTCATAATCACATGTCTACCCCAGGGACCAGAGCTGTGGATTACCAGAGCAAATAAATCCCTAGGTGGGTGGGCCCCAGAGATGCTATCAGCAGAGGACCGATGCCAGCCACTTGGCTCACAGGGTGGAAGGGAGCCAGAAGGAACCCTGGGGAGTTTCCATTGCTTAAAAGAAAAACTGATAGAGCGATAGAAATGGAAAACCCTCCACTGAGATTTGCTCTAATATCTGAAGTAATTTCTATAGGGATTAAGTTGTTCCACTTGGCCATCCAATGACCACAAGGCAGACATTATTCCTAATAATATGAAAGCCTGGAAGTAGATTTATACTCCTACATTCATTCTGTAACCTTAGGGTACATAGAAATCTATTTTAAAATTAAAAAAATGTCTTCATAATATGGCAATGCCAACACTATTAAATCTCCACAAGAGGTTCTACAATGATATGCTACTTTTAAAAACTTTATTAATATGAGAACATATTTACTGAGTTTCACAGGTACACTTAGTTCTAAGATGATAAGCATCCTTCCCTCCATCTATCTCCCTCCTTCCTTCCTTTTATTTCCTAATTTTTGCAAAGAGATAATTTCAATACCCTCTATAATCACAGGCTTAACTTCAAACACCATTTTACAACTTGTGCAAGCAATGTTACAACTGTTGGTTTCTCAAATGCCCCTTTATGTTCATCAAAAAGAGTGCTCAAAGCAAAATATGAAATCATGCAAAACATTTATCAGCAAACACAATTCCTTAATTCCTAATATCATAAAAATATAAAGATATAAGCAGAGGTTTCAAGAAGGACTTTAAAATTGAAGTCACATCTAAGAGTTCATTAAAACATGTCCTAACAGATCAGTGAAGGACATTTATCACATTATATACTGTGGCAGAAAATGTGGAAACAATCTAATTGCTTGCCAATGAAGGATTTGCTCACAGCAAGTACCATACAGCTCACAGTGAAGAACTCTGAAGCAGATTGTAGGGTAGGTATTTGACCCAGAGGTCAAAATGCCACTTAGGATGCCTGCATTCCATTTTGGAGTACATGGATTTCACTCCTGGTTCTATTCCCAATTCTTTCATCCTGCTAACGTGTGCTCAAGGAGGAACAGGTAACGGCCCAAGTAGCTGGATCCCTGCCAGCCAAGTGAGAAATGCAGGTCGAATCCCCAGCGTGTGGCCTGAGCCTGACCCAGCACCAGCTACTGCAGGCATCTGGGAAGGGATTCAGTAGACAGTAGATATTCATTTCTGTCTCTGTCTCTCAGATAAAAACATAATAAGATGAATTGGGTCTTTATGGGACTAACTTGAAAATAACCTGTCACTTCTCTAAGCACTGATGAACTAGAAAATAGTTGTTCCTTCTGGGGGCATTGGGGAGGAAAATGAGGAGGAAAAAAAAGAATAGAGAATTAGTATTTTGGGTAAGCCTTGTAAACTGCATGATTTTAAAATATCAATATGTGTGGAGGTTTTTTTGATGGGGTGGGGGAGGGAAGAAGGGATCTGAAGAAGTAATTGTGATATTGTGAATACAAAGAAAGGTATATAGAAATTAAGAGGTTACTTTAAATATATGCACTATAAAAATACAAGCATAATAGTCAAAGTCAGAAAGCTCAAGGACGGCAGGGAATTCCGAAGGGATGAATGAGTTAACCAGAGATCTGCTTGTGTGATAAAAGTGATTCAAAGGAATTGCCTGATGCATCATCTATTTCCATCTTCCACAGGGCCAACAGTACTTTGTTCAAGTCTCAGCTTACAACATGAAAGGATGGGGACCTGCTCAACCCACGACACCGGCGTATGCCTCTCCTTCTAGTAGGTGCTGGCTGTGAACTTTCTTCAGCATGGCAAAAGGCTCCAAGGCCAACTCTGTCCTCAGGGTCCCACTGACTTCCCCTTTCCCTGCTGCTTGTTGACCCACAAGACCTTCCCAGGGCTTTCCTCTGCAAAAAAATATATTTTTAATATATATTTTTTGTAAATATATATATTTACAGATAAAATATATATAAACATATATATTTATATACATATCCCTGATATATATAAATATATATTTATATATGTCTGCAAATATATATTTTTAAAATATAGATATTTATATAATATATATTATATAAATATATATAATATATACTGCATATATAATATATATTATATATATAAATATATATTACATATTTATATATGTATATCCCTGAGCAAACAGCTCAGTGGATTTAAATTAAAATCTGGAACCTGAAAAGACCAGATGTAATACTCCTATCTTTCACCAGTTATGTAGCCTTAAAAAGTTGGTTAAGCTCTCTGTGCTTCAATTTACCATCTGTACAATGGGTCTAATCATAACCTTTCAAAGGGACTTTTGTGATAATACAATGAGATGACACTGTGGGAGTGCTTGCCCCAAAGGACACAGCCCATTTTAGCTCTCACCTTCCCTTCCATGCAACCAGTAGACACATCCACACAGCTTTCAATGCAATCAGGAAAGCTAACAAATCTTGGTTCTCCTATATCGTAGGAAGGCAGGCTTCCATGCTAACATTCTGCTGCACAGGTAACTTGTGATATTATAGTGGTGACCGAGAAATCCAACCAAGACTTCTGGTTACTTAAAGATCAATAATCTAGCCACATGAAAGTTTCTGCAATGGAATGAGCCAAGTGGTCTAAAATACATGTTTTCTTTGTAAAAAAAAAAAAAGTCACCAATATGATAGCTTAAAAAATGCCTCTTTTGAAATGGCAGACTGCTGCACAAGTTGTGATACCGTTTCAACTGCCTTCAGAAGAAACATTTCCTTCTCCCCACCACCATGTATCTAGGAATTATAAGATTAAGATACCAAAGAAGTCACTCCCACGCAGGGAGGTGCTCAGGGGCTCAAGGGGACAATGGTGAACCCTCTTCCCCATGAAGCTGACAAACGTGTAACAAAGGTATCAATGTGAATGCTGGGGTGGTGGAAAGGTGAATATATATTAACTGGTAATCAATATTTCAAATAGCAACATTTTCTGAAATGCTATGTTTGATTAGGAAGAGTGTCAGGCTAAAAACCTGAAATCCCAACACGTGGCTGCAGTTGCTGCAGACAGGCAGTATCACTTGGAAAGAACAAGCTAAAAACACTCCGGTTCTATTTATAAACAGGGTATGACATGGTGATGTAACTTGTCAGTATCCAGGTATTCACTAGAGGACAATGTATCCTAACATGACAGAGTAATTGGAAATTTGGTAATATGTTCCAGAAAGCTATAAAACTTTTTTTTTTATATTTTTACAAAAGGCCTTAATGTGTTTTTATAGACTTATGTTATATGGCATAGTACAAAATAAGAGAAAAGGACCCAGACAGGCTTTGTGAGTTATGAGGAAAACCCTGATACTGCCTGTGAATTTAAGTTCTGTGTTCTGCAGCAACTCAAGTGTCTCATTACCAGAACAGGGAACTGTATTATGTGGCAAAATCTGCTCTTTCCTTGCCATGCCCAGTTTATTCCTGTCAAGTTCCTGATTTCTTAATATATTTTCAATTTTCTCCCTCATCCCTAAAGTCTATTTTATGTAGTCGCCAGAACCTTCCAAACATCTATGAGAAAAACTAATTCTTTCCAAAAACCTTGGCATTGCATCCAGTGCTCACTTGGGCTGCAATTTAGCATTAGCAATTTTCTAATGTATCATAAAGTCATCAGATCAAGCTCACCTCTGATGTAATGGTGCTCAGCTCAAAGAATCAGACCCATTTCATCTGCCCTTGCATTGACAGCATCATTAACACTTATTAGAATACATTAGCATGTTCCAGCCCACATAAGAATCCAGCCACTCAGGAGTCTAATGCAAACGCTCAGCTTTGTTCATCTTGTCAGGAAAACTCATCCGACTTCAAGAACAAATTCACAGTGGCCCTTGGGACTCCACATCAGCAATACGATCCTCACTGTGCCTGGATGGCAGGGTCACTACAAGTAATTAAAGGGCCACTGACAGTTAATTTACCTAAATGTTTGAATCGGTCAAAACTCCTCTATCCCTCATACTATCACACTTCTATTCACAATCCCTCCCCAACATTTAACAAGTGTCTCCTATGCACCCAGGATGATATTTTATTTAGCCTTTGAATTCTCACATAACCTAAAAATAAATTGGAAACAAGTCATTTTACAAAGAAGAAAACCGAATTGCTTCTCGGCCTTTTGCCCAAGATCAAGTGTAGAAGAAAACTGAAGCAAAAAGAAGTGAAGTCCAGTTCTTACCCACAGGGACAGATAAACCATGTCCCTGTGTCCAGAGCTGGCCACTACAAAGCCATCCCACACAGACTCTAACCAAGTGCTGATCTTTCTTCCCAGAAGAAAAAAAAAAAAAAAAACCTGTTGGTGATATAATGAAAAGGAGTACTATGGGAATGGTCATGAGACGAAGTTATAGTCCTGGCTATGCCACCAACAAACTGAAAAAACATAGTACTGCAACGCTTGTCTCAGGGTCTTAGTCTTCTGATAGGCCATACAGAAAAGGGAACAGGGAAAGAAAAAAAGAGGGAGGGAAAGAAACATGAAATCTCAGAAGAATTAGGGAATCTTCACAGGCAATCATCTAATGAGGTAAGAAAAGTTGTTTCTATCATGGATTCCCTTCATTTTAAGACAGTATTTATAGAATACTTGATACGGAATAGGAACTGTGTCTGACACTTAACAGATCCTTCACTTAATCCTCACAAATATCCTGCAAAGTCGATGCCATAATAATTTTCCAGCTAGGCAGCAGAGGTCCTATCAATGCAGGCAGCTTGCCTAAAGACACTAAGGGAGCAGTGAGAAGAGCCCGGAGCCACACCCAGCTTTGGCTCCAACGCGTGTGTCCCTCTAACTGTGCTATAACCCTGGGCTTTTAGAAATCATGACATTTGCTTCCATTTCCGAAGGCAGTAGACCCCATCTGAAAATAAATCTGTTGAGGAGGGAATATGAAACTTGTTCAACTAGACTTTAAGTGCAAGATACACTCGTCAACTATGTGGCTTTTCTCAGGAAGAAGGATTAGCATCTTTTAGATAAAGTATTTCAACAAAAAGAAAGCATTTAAAGTTGCTATTTTAAAAAGCATGTAAAAAAAAACTGGGACAAAGAAAACAGAGGGAAGAAGAGATGGACAGTAAAATGACTGACCTGCTGAAAAAAAAAATTCAATAGTTGGAGACAGCAGAATTACAATCTTGACATTAGTCCCATATGGGTTATTACTCTTGATATCATTATAGCCAAATGGAATGAAAATAGAAGGGAGAGAAAAATCTCAGTGGGTATTGCAATTTAAATTTGCCATGTAAGCTAATACTGTATATTTAGAGACTGAGCAGACAGGGTGGTTGGTGGCTCAGAGTATGTACAGGGGTTGCTGTGCCAGCTAACCAAAGCAGACATTCATTAGAGCAAAATGTAGATTTCCATTTCTTGGCATCTGACAAGGACTCTTTCCTTGGAAAGAAATGTCAATTTGGCCAAAAGTGTGAAACCTACAATAAAAGCATTGGGGCTGTGGATTTCATCTAGTCTGCACATTCCCACCTCTTTCTTTCCTACCATGTAAATCCAATTGAGACTCAGGGTGCGCATTAGAGACTGAAGGGGAACTTAGGACAAGAGATACTGCAAAGTCAGGGGAGGGGCAGAGAGAAGAGGACTGGACTCCCAAGTTCGTATTTTCTTTTGGATTTCAATTACCATTTTTTCTTGCCCCAAAACTACCCAAGAAATCAACCACAATTACTATTTTATACAGGGCTCTAAACAATAGCAACTTCCAAATCCCTGGCACTGCCACCAAGCCCTGCGTGTGCTGGATGCCCATCCGTGGAGCCTGTGGGTTGGAGGAGCAACACTCCGGCTCCTTAGGCAGCACACGAAAGAGGCCTCCCCTGCTTTAAAATTTCCCTCTGTTTGTTTCTTTTGTTCAATAGACTGGAAAGACTATGACGACAGAGAGCCCAGACACAAGGGACAGAGTGAAGTTTTGGAAGGTCTGCTGCAGCAGGTCCGAGCCCTTCATCAGCATTTCAGTTGCCGGGGTAAGGATAAAAATCTGTACTGGGCCATCAGCTGAGGTCTCGGTGGCGCCGGTAATTTTAGCAGTTTCTGAGCTGGGTCATACCTTCTCATTCATCAGAGAAAAAGAGATATTAATATTTGTACATCTGGAATCACTTTACAGCACTATCTTGCTTTAACCCTTACAAGAGATTTCCCACTCATTCCCTCCCATTCTCACTTTCTCTGTGTGTGTGTGTATATATGTATGTGTATAAACAAATAAGTAACATTTTGGAATCAGGCAGAAAAATTACAGATGGAGTAGTTCCTTTGTATTATCCTTTCACAAGATTCCTGGACAGCGCTGGGTCTTTGGGGATATTAGCCCTCAAACATTTCACCTCCAAGAATTCCTTGAGCATCCCTCAATCATAAAAACAATAGTAAGCCTTCATATGTATTTATAATATATTTTACAATACAATTTCAGATCCAATATCTCTTTCATCCTCAATTTGGCAGTTCTCTCTGAAGCTGAATAACTTACTGAAGGTCGCAACGCCAGAAAAAGACTCCAGACTCCAGACTCCAACCTGGATTTTCTGATTCCAAGCCCAGTCTCCCTGACACACCTCATTTTTGTCTCCCACCCCTACACATCAAGACTAGGCACTGAACTCTAATCTCACCCTCAAGTCTAATCTTCCTCTGTCCCACTGCTTGGGGTAAAATGCAGCATGCCTTCTCTAGCCTTTCGCCAACTACATGCAGAGAATCTCCATGAAGCTTTTAAAGAAGCTTTTAAAAGCTTCTCTTATACTTGGGTTGTCAAATGCGACAGGGTCAGGTTTCTGACTTGTGTAATGATTCGTGGAAGAAGCACTTAGTTTTATTTGGAGAATTAAAACTTCCATAAAGTTTTCATTTTCCATGCTCCCATCAAAACTCCAACTATATTATGCTCTCTAGATTCAAAGCACTGTTGAGCCAGCTGGATTAAAAAAAAAAAAAACCCACCATTGAAACTAAAGAGATGCTGAGTATGAGTTTGATACAAAGAAACCACACTAGCATTAACAAGTTGTTCACAGTTAACTCATAGCCGTGAAAACAGAGTCCTTCAGAAACATTCAGTGCAGCTAGAAATGAGGACAAGTGTTTGCAAGAAAACAACGTTCTTCTAATGAGTTGTTCATTAGGAGATGTAAATACGTCCCTAATAAGCAAAAGGAGACCCAAGTGAAAATTTCATTCCCAGACCTCTAGTATAACCGTACCCAGTTTAGGACTTTAAGCATCCCACCCTGACTAAAGCACACTAGCCTGGATATTATGTGGGTTCCTTTCCCTTCTATCACCGTTGCTCCCCTCCCTATTGGTTCCTTTATGGCAGTAGGATGTTAAACAGACAGATATGTCTTTGCAATTCATCAAGCACTTGTTTTGTGGTTCACTTTATCCAACAGTGAAAACTATAATTACTTAATGAGGAATTTCTCAGTGTATTATCTGAAGACCCACATTCTCTGCCCTGTGATACCAGATTACTGTCTGATCGTCAAATGATCATCTAGAAATCTCACTTATTTTTAAGAGTTCCCATCCAGTTTTGTCATATGTGTACTTTACTTCCATATAATCTACACAGTATCAGAAAAGATATAACAAAAAAAAAAATTCCAAAGAGGATTTACAAAATTTATTTAGGAAACAGAAGCACAGTGGAAGAGATATCCTATCCATCCACCCACCCCCAAAACCCCACAATAACCAGGGAGAAACCAGGAGCCAGGAACTCCATCTCGGTATCCCACATTCCTAGAAAAAAACAGTTACTCCTGCCTCCCAGGGTTTATATCAGCAAAAAGCTGGTGTCAGAAGTCAGGGTTGGGAATCAAACACCTCAGATATAGAACACCAAAGTCCTAATCAGCCCTCTAACCACCAGGCTATGTGCCCACCCAAGAAAATTATTTTTATATTGAAATGTACTCTGTTGATGTAAACAATACCCAACTCTGCTGCAAAGAACAATGAACCAATAAATTGCTCAGCTGTAAAAATTTCTCCTGTCAGACAAGTTTGGAAATTATAAAGAGCTTCATTCCTGATCCCTCAGGAATGTAAAATGGACACCAGAGTGTTAAAAATGCTAATTGAAGTGATGTAGTGAATAAGTTAAGCATTTTACGAACGTTTTAGACCTATAGAACATTTTTCATAGAGTTAGTGAGGTCACAAACTGACCTATAAAATGCCATGGTAAAAGAAACTCACAAGAAGGGAATGGTTCTATAGATTCTATCCTTTACTGCTTAAATGATATTAAAGTATTTACAAAGAACAACAAAATTATCCTTTAAAATACTCAACTACAGGGCCTGACACAATGACTCAATGGCTAAATCCTCACCTTGCAAACTCCAGGATCCCAGATAGATGCACGTTCGTGTCCTGACTACTCCACTTTCCATTCAGCTTCCTGCTTGTGGCCTGAGAAAGTAGTGGAGGATGTACCAGAGCCTTGAGACCCTACACCCATCTGAGAGACTTGGAAGAAGCTCCAAGCTTTGGACTGGCTCACTTCCAGCAGTTGTGGCCACTTGGGGAGTGAACCAGTACCTGGATGATCTTTCTCTCCATCTCTCCTTCTCTCTGTAAATCTGATCTGCCTTTCCAATAAAAATAAATCTTTAAAAGATTAAAAAGAAAGTAATAAAACACTCAAATATATTGAGATTATGTGGTTCACTGGAGATACATACCTGTGCAAATTTCACAATACAAAAAACAGTAGTTTAAGACCTTGTTTTACCATTTATTAGCTGTATGATCCTAGGAAAAATAATTTAACCTCGAGCCATAACCTCTTCATCAGAAAAATCAGGATAATAATACCTAAGCTGCAGAATCATCATAAGCATTAAAGTGGATAATTAATTACATTCACTCAGCACACCGCAGGTCCCTTGAACACTCGCATGTTTTTCTTCCACTGTTTTTCCAGATGGAGAATGACACCACTCCTCACTGCTGCATATACTGATCATACGGATATATCCCAGAATTAAAGTATAAATGTATTGAGCCTTGAAGTACTCTAACTGCACAACACATTCCAAACACAAAAGTAACAATAGATTATGCCAGGGCTGGCATTGTGCATTGTAAGTTAAGCCCCCACCTGTGACACAGGTAACCCAAATGGGTCCAGGTTCGAATCCCAATTGCCCTAAGTTTGGTCCAGATCTCTGCTAATGTGCTTGGGGAAAAAAAATGGAAGATGGTATTTGGGCCACTGCACCTTCATGAGAGACCTAGAGAAAGCTCCCCCAAGAGTTCTGGCTCTGGTCCAGCCTTGGCCGTTGTAGCTATCTGGAGAGTGAGCCAATGGGTTCTCTGTCCTCCTCTCTGTGACTCTGCCTTTCAAATAAACAAAAAATAAAAATCTAAAACAAAGGAAAGGAAAAGGGAAAAAGAACATCCGTTCTCTTACCAAATACCCCATAGAGAAGGTATACCAAACCCTAATTCCTAGAGTTTGTTGGTCACAGTTAATTTGCATGCTCAATACTGGGATGAAAAAAAAAATGTTAAATTTCCTGGCATACAGAGTGAATTATAAAGAAGTCAACTTTAGAAGTCATCATAGTGATATCAAAAAAGGTTGAGTTTCAGTTATCACTCAATTAGTCAACTTGTGAAACAACATTCACTCAAGCCCTGCCTAATGTATGTCTTGTCTGTAACTGGGGGGACAACTGCATTCAGAGTACAGAAAATGAACCTTTGCTTTCAAGCCCTGAATCCAGAAGAAAACTGCAGCACAGAAGCCATAATAAGGATTCTCACCCTATATGTTTCCACAAGGATGTGTATAAGCAAATTTATATACTGGAAGAAAATGGCCCCAAAATAAAAGCCCTGGTCATATAGAAGTGATAGGATGGGGATAATGTGTTAGGTTCTGTTCTATTCTCCAAACTGTGATGTGATTATTTTTATAACTTAAAATTCAATGAATACTACAAATGTAGAGACTAACAAGGATAGTCTTGTCAGCATTGAGAAGGCAAGTGATTCCCTTTTTATATCACCTAGTAATAAACTATATATCCCAAGAATATTTAAAAAATAAACAACTGTATTTTATCTGTGGAGTTGTACTGCTCATCACCATTATTTTCAAGTAGCTGTTCATCAATTTAATCTACTAGTATTTCAAAATCTAAGAATTTTTTCAATAAGAATATGTGAACTGAATTCCTCTCTTGACAGAGAGGTCAAGAGAGAGAAAAAGAGAGGACAGAAAGGCAGGAAGAAATTGAGAGTATTCAGCTGCCAAATGGAATTCACACTGTATTTTCTTTTCTCTGTTCCAGAAAGCTCAAAATTACAAACCACAGGCCGCAAGCAATCAGTTTCAAGGAGCCTGAAACACCTTTTCCATTCCTCAAACAAGTTTGTGAAGACTTTAAAACGGTGGGACATGCTTACTCTTTTCAGAAAGTCTTCTCAGGAATTAGCTTATATTGGTTCTGAGAAGAAACTTGGAAGAAGTCTTCTTGTCGTTACAAGAATGAAACTCACTTTTTGCCTGAAAATTTGGGCAAGATAATTTCTCTGAGTTTTAGGAGTGAACTTGTGATACTCAGCAGGAAAATGGTGCTAGATAGATTTTAGATTCATCATTATCATATCCAAGAGAAATTTCTGCCAAAAGTCAAACTTGATAAAAGAGACTAAAGATATTTCTCCTTTGTTTCTTTTTAGAGGACTCTACATAGCTGTTATATTTTATTACAAAGACAATATGTTGGTCACCAATGAAGATCAAATACCAATCGTTGAAATAGATGACTCTCACACCAGTTCCATTATGCAAGATTTTCTGTGGTTCACAAAGGTATACAGAGTTCTGATTTCATTTTTCCCACTTCATTGCCATGTTACTGCACATAAATCCCCGAAACTTTAGCTGAGTGGTCTCCAGCGGTCAGAGTCCTGGGGTGGAAGTAAATTGTCTCCAAGGACCCTTTCAGCCTTAATATGCCCTGTGTCATTAAAAAATGCCTACATAGTGTCTACACTGCATTTTCAAAGCAAAGAAGCTTGCATCCTGTCAGATTGTGTCTCCACTATTCTTGAATTATGGGATCATTTGGCAAAGACTAAAATGTGGATCTGACTGTTTCATTAACATTCAGATCTTTTTCCAATTGGACAGAGATCAAAAAGTTGTTTCGCATGTATCTGAAAATGGACTGGGGAACAAACATCAGGGGTCGGGTTTCCTTCTCCCTGCTTTTGCTTTGATGCCACAACCTAAATCATGTACTGGCTTAGATGATGATATGACCTTGTGACTTCTTTTGCAGCTGTCTTGTATGTGGGAAGACATAAGGTGGTTAAGGCAAAGCATACCTATCTCCATGTCCTCATCCACAGTGTTGCAAACCAGGCAGAAGATGCTTGCAGCAACAGCCCAGCTACAGGTAAGGGCCTGGCGCACATCCAAACACCCAAGGATTTTTTTTGTTCTAAGTTAGACCATTCAGTGAACTAAGCTCACCTAGGAAGGAAAAGTTGGCTCCTTTGTTTCAGATACACAGGCACATTCACTTCTTGGACAGTTTGTGCTCTGCACCTGCTCACCTGGTGAACCTGTCCCTCTGGCCATCTCCTGAAAGGGAGTTTCTTTTGAAGAGTATGTGAGTAGCCTCCTAAGGAAGGAGTACAGAAAGCTGAGCTCTAGATTTTGTATTAGTAACTCATTGATCCTGCTCAGCCTTGGTGCAATCACTTGCAAAATGAAAGGAATCTGACTAGATTGAAGAATCCCTGTTGCCATAGCACACTGAGCAGCAATGAGTGAACAGAGATGGGGAACTTTGATAGTGTTTTGAGGAGTTTCTTGGTGTGATGTTTTTGGTAAAACAGACATCTTGTTTACATTTTTACATACTTATAAAAAAGTAAATAACAAGCACCTCTTAAATGGTTACCTGCGATCTCTAATACATTAATCCTTTCATGCTAACAATAAAATTGGGTCAAGTTGCCAAGACCTGCAAGAATTCTCACAAATTACAGAGCTCCCTCTAAAAATGACAACCAAACCAATCCGCTTGGTTTTTCCTTTCATGGTTTTCCTGTGTTGTTTTTTTTTTTATAAGCTGAATTTTTGGTTCTTACTATGGGAAAATTTTTGCTATATGATGCTGAGGTTCTCCAGAGATCACTGGGCCTCTATCACGTTGGTATTTATCCACAAAGCTGTCAGTTATTTTCACCCCAGAAATGTGCATTAACAAGAACATATGATGGGCCAGACCGTAACAATTATGGTATAAAATAGGGTCACAATGACAACAAAATCCTTCTATGGTTCATTCCCCACCTGTAATTATAGAAACTTCATTACTTGAACGACTGCCATAACAATTCAAGTTGATGTAGTAATAATCGTGTTGCTTTCATAATTTATTATGAAAGGTAACATTTATCCCACTGTGCTATGCTCCTTAACATACAAATGCCCTGCCTTATATCCACAGTTTTCTCAGAGATTTTAGCAAACAGTATTCTTCATTTGAACCCATTCCTGATTGCAGAATCTTCTCCTCTAACTCTAACTCAAGGAGACGTTCTTGGAGCTGGGCCATGATGACTATGCTGAAATTGAAGCACCTCTTCACTACCCATGCACTTGGGCTGGACCATGCCACTGCACCCACACTGCCCTTTCTTTAGGATAAAGTACATCCCCCCATCACATGAGTCTCAGACCCTTTGGTGGACCCTCTGTTACCCCACATGCAACCCAGACAGGCCAGGATCACAAGCTAAACAACCTTGGAATTTCAAGCAGGCTCTTTATCATGTGTTTATTGGAGGCTTCCTAGAACACTTTCATCTGGTATCAGTAACATGAGAAGGATCAAGCTGTTACAAGCCAGCGCAGTCAGAGACTGAGTGACACCAGCTTGGCCAGTGTGACCCTACTCAACTGCTCCCACTGCAATAGTTTTTGGATTTCCTCAAACCCCAAACCTATTGAGCCTACTATGTTTCAGTATGTGTCATGCTTCTTCTAAGGTGCATCACAGTCTGAACTTTTTCCTTCCATATTTATTCGGGGGAAAAAAGGCTGGATAAATCTAACACTTCTACACCAGAGTATTTCCACATTGTTGCAAAAAGATCATAAAAATGGGCAGATTGCTATGTTAAATTCTAGACTACAATTCTCATGTGAAATGTTACCTACTGGGCCTATTCCAATTCTCTACTAAATCTTCTTTCCCGTAGTATAAAGCCACAATTTAAAACCTCATTTTCCCACATCCCTTCCCTTTCTTCATATTCTCCATCCATATCTTATGTGATGACTTCACCACATAATTTGTTAAGAAAATAAATATGGAAGTGGGTTTGTGGCACAGCAAATTAAACTGTTGTTTCAGATACCTACATTCCATATTGGAATGCCTGGTTCAAGTCCTGTCTACTCCATTTCTGATCTTTTTGCTAAGGCACATACAGGACAGCAGGTAATGGCTTCAGTACTTGAGTCTGTTATCCACAGAGCAAACCCAGAGTTCCTGTCCCTTGGATGCAGCCAGGTGCAACCCTGGTTGTTGCAGAAATTTGGGCAATGCATCAGCAGATAGAAGAGATTTATATTTATTTGCTCTCATTTTCTTGCCCAGTCATATTCTGTGTGCGCGTCTTTTTCTCCTTCTTTATATTCTCCCTCAGTTCCTTCTCTCTCACTCTGCCTTTTGAATAACCAGTTTTTATCTTTCCCGGGTATTTTTTAAAACTTTGTCTTGGAAAGGAAGGTTTAGATAGGAGAGACAGAGCAAAATATTTGTCTGTTAGTCTACTCCCCATGTGGCTGCAATGGCCAGCCAGAGCTTAGCTAATCCGAAGTCAGGAGCCAGGAGGTTGCTCTAGGTCTCCCACATGGGTGCAGAGGCCCAAGGCTTTAGGCCATCCTCTACTGCTTTCCCAGGCCACAAGCAGGTGTCTGGGTGAAAAGTGGAACAGCTAGGACACAAACTGGCACCCATATGGGATCCTGGCACATGCTAGCTGAGGATTTAGCCAAAAGGTTAATCATGCCAGGCCCAATAAGCTAATTTTGAAAGGAGAAAATAAATATAATTTTTCTACTACCAAATCTTGCTTGCCTTGACCACACTTTCTTTCTTCTCTCCTATATTACTATATGAAGTCTTATTCCTGCATCCAAAGACTTGTCTCTCTGCCTGTTCCCTGGATTTCATTTCTTCCCTCATCTTCAATTATTTGAAGGATTCATTTCAAACAGCAGCAGCAACAAACAAACAAAAAAACCTCTCAAACTGAACCTTTCCAAATTCCTGCCTTGTCCCTACTACATGCACCTTCAGCTACCAAACTTTCTTCCACTTACACCCAAACTCCTTCAAAAAGTTGCCCCTATTCTTTCTCCACTCAGTTCACCTCCCACTCACTTATCAACATGATGACTTTTGTGAACTCCACGACTACAAAACTGTTCCCTGCAGCCACCAGGAATCAGTGGGAGATGGTGCCAAGGAAGCCAGAACTTCAGATCCCACTCTTGCATAAGCCCTGTTAGAGTGGGGGCTCAAGGAGTGTTTTAGGGAGGGAGGAAGAGCTGGCTTTCAATCAAGAAACATTTCTAACCAATGGCCTAAAGAAATTTCATGGCGAATGGAAGACCTGGAATTCCAAATATAGGCTGAATATCAAAATGCTTGGAATCAGAAATGTTTTAGAATTTTGGGGGCTCTGGCATATTTGCATAGCAGATTTTACCAGACTGAGGTGTCTGCAATCCAAAATGCCAAGTTTGGAGATGATTTCATTTTATCAACCTAAATAAGAATTCACCTTTTTGCCTAATTTTACAGCTTTAATTTTGTATTCTTCATCTTCAAAAAAGAGGGGAGCCCAAAATTCTGTAGTTCAGGGACTCAATAACTGAATCTATCCTGCAAAATGGCCACTGTCACTAGATTCAGTGGACACGAAGTCCTCTTTACAGCTGACATCTTATCTCACGCTACACTTAGTCCCCCTATCCTTTTTTAAGCTGCCACATCTCTTGGCTTCCACGTTTCCATAAATTCTCCTGATTTTCTTCCAGGTTTCTGGGCCTTCTCAGTCTCCTCAGCTAGCTCATAGTGTCCTCCACTTGAAATACTGTTTTTCCACTCCTCAAATAATTCCTACATATGCTTTAGAACTCAGTTTAATCTTTATTCTTCCTCCAAGAACCTTTCTCTGAACCCTTAAGGAAACCACTCTCACAGCACCTTGTTTTCTTCAATCAGAGGAATTGTTATAATCCTCAGTGAATTGTTTGTGTCATTATCTGCTTAGTGATTCATTTAGAATACAAGTTCTTGAGTTCAGACAAAAAGCTGTCTTGGGTACTATATTGCCAATTCCTGACATACAGTAGACATTCATTTAGTTAACTATTGGTTGGAGAAATAAATGTATTTTGTCAGGCTTTGGCCTGACAACTTGTAGTTCAAAGATTACACAGTAGCAAAAAATTGGATAATCCTGTTTAATTGAAATAAACATTCCAACCAATGTCTGATCAGCTTCGTGATCACAGTCATAGTCTGTCTTAATGATAATATTAATTCAATCAACAAAAGTCATTGAGTTCTCATCACATATCCAAGAGCAGGAAACCCAGAGACGCAAATGAAATAATCATGATTTTAGGACATGAATCCCAATATATTCTGTGAAACTAAAGACCTGCAAAGATAGAAACTTGTGCATAAAGCACTAGGGGACAAAAGAGAATGGTAATTGCTATCTAAGAGAGCTATGAAATATTTCCCATAAATGGTAAAACACTAGTTGTGCATCAAAAGTAACCATGTGTGAGCTGGATTAGGATCCTTATTATAAATAAGTAAATGAAGTCCAAAAACAAAGCAGGCATTCAGCATGGCAATTAAGTTGATGTGGGATGCGGACATCCCCCGTCATGGGGCACAGGCGTGAGTCTCACCTCTGATCCCAACGTTAGCTCCTAAAACACACCCCAGACACACAGATGGTCCCTGCCACCCACACAGGGACCCAGACCCTGCTCTGGGCTTTAGGCCATTGCAAGTATCTGGCGAGCGAACAAGATGATGGAAAATCTTTATTACTCTCTCCTCCAAACCCCAATCTCTCCCTTCCTCCCACCCTCACCCTCTCAAATACATAGTTTGAAAAAAGAGAAAGCAAACCTATCTTATACTATACCAAGCATAGCTAAATTTAATCCTTTAAACACTCTCCATTGTGCAGAGAGCATAAGGGATATCTGACTATATGAACTCTTAATTTTAGAAGATGGAACTCAGAGAGGCTAAACAATTTTTTAGAACTTCAACAGTTGGTAAATGCAGCCATTCCTCAAACTCAACACTGTGTGAATAAAAGCCGAAGAAGAGTGATTGTTGAAGACAACTGGGAAATACTCGAGAACTCTGGAAGTCTCCTGTCAAACACATGGCAGCCTAAGTGTAGCATAAGTTATTTACACCACAGAAATTGGCCTATGCTATAAATCGGGAGGGTCCCTCCTCTGCTGCCTTTCTTTTTCCCTTTCTGTCTTTCTAGCTTACCAGCACAGCACTGTTTATTAACAAACTGCCTCCCTGGATAACTACAGCATTACATAGGACTAGACTAAACAACTACCTGTCTGCGATTTAGAAGGCAATTTTTTGAAATGAAATGCCCGAGTATGCCTTTTAAATGTTGTAATAATGATGCTGCCCACTTACTTTTTGGACTATTTTGGTAATTATTTATGAAGTTCCTTGTTTGCTTTGTGTCTAATGTCTAATCTTAAAAAACTTAAGATGCAGTCCCTACCAGTGAGGAAACAGTGTTTGCTGCGATGTGGATGTTGACCAGATGGCTCACTCATTTTTTTAGGTCAACCTTGTCATTTTTACAAATTCCAGTTCTACTTTTGCTCTCATGCTAGCAGGTCATCTCATCATCATCAGTTATGTGAGCTCACAAAAATAACAGCTAGGGGCTTGAGATGATTTATAATTTTAAGAAAATCAAAAGATATTTACAGCAAGAGATTTTATCCTATTTATCCAGTACTCTAGGTTAAAAATCTTCAAGCCACGCATATTTGTAAAATTCATGTTTATTTTAGCAACACCCATCAGAACCACTCCACATTTAATATGGCACCCTTCCCTTCCCACCTTTCTAAAAGTATTGTCTGCCTTAGCTGACCTAGTGTATAAGAAATTTGAAGGGAGCTTTTAAATAAATAGAACCCCTGAATTGCAGATAAGTCAGACCAGGCCAGTGACCCAATTAAAGTATCATGAAGGCACTTTGCACTCATTGGGGGACCTGTACAATGTGCTACATTGTCAATTCACATCTTCATTTTAAACAACCCCCACCTCACAGCTTACTGTAGATCTCTTGAAAACTTCACAAGTGGCATACTTGGAATATCAGGCATTTTTCTTTAAAACATCTGGGATTCTCTTCAAGTGCTGGTAACTGAGGTTTGTGTTTTGGTGTGTCTATGTGGGTGAGAGTATTTACAGATTTTGAATTTGCTTAAGAAAACAACTTTGTGCCTCTTTCTACAGGCTTGTGATGAAGACATTTTCTTTCAACTTCTGTTAAGTACATTTCTATGACGCCATGTATTTTGAGTTTCAGTATACAAGAAAAATAAAAACAGCTTCTCAGAAGTGAGATAATTATTCAGTGTCATGTTGCAGTTCTTTTGCTTTGTTTATACAGCATCATCTAAGCTACCAGGAATCTATTTGTTTCTAGAACTTGCTGGGAACACACAACCTGGGAAGAGTTTACTACGAGCCCATTAAAGATCGGCATGGAAACACACTCATAGTCACCATCAGAGAGGTGGAGATGCTTTACTCATTCTTCAATGGCAAATGGATGCAGATCTCCAAGCTGCAAAGCCAAAGGAAATCTCTGTCCACACCAGAAGAGCCAACGGCCTTGGATATTTTGCTAATAACCATCCAGGTGTGTAGTTTTTGTTTGTTTCTTTAATTTCCTGATGATATCTGAACTTACAAACACAATTACTGAGGACGAGTGAAACAGACCAGAAGCCCTTTGTAGTTGCAGAGACAGGCTGGACAGGGCCCCAGACAGGTGATTGCTTCTGTCCCACACACAGAAATGAAGGTACATTTATTTATCATGCTTTAGATCTGGAACCCACTCTGCAACACCAATAGTGGGAACCCTGAAAACATCATGACCGATAATCAATGGGAAACACAGGCAAATAACTGAATGGGGGAGAGGGCGATCTATAGATATTATAATCAAGGCATTAAAACAATATCTGAATAGACTGTGATAACATGTTTTTAGAATTCCTGGGCCATGCATGTATATGTATGCATGTGCACCTATGTGCGGCATTTTGAACAAAAACTTGCTTGTTCATTACAGTATTCCCTTGGAATTAGGTCCCCAGAAAAGAAATGACTGGAGTTCAAAGAGGTCAAGTGACATAGCGCTACAGAGAAAAGCAGATTTAGTGAAGCTAGTGAAACTTTCATGTCAGTCAGCTTTTCATTTCTAGGATCTGAAAGGGTCCCTAGCAATTTCACACACATAATTTCTTTTTCTCAAGGAAGATACCACAAACCATATTAGTGTCAGGTTCAACAAAACTTGGAATCTATGATAGGCATACACAAATGAAACAGCCGTTTCAACTCTGATCTTTTGACAGCAGTCTTCCTTCTGCTCTGCTACCTCAAGTTGTGGGGTAGGAGTTGAGGGTTTTAGTGAGGAATGTGAGATGGAATAAAGGGTTAAAGATGCACCTGTATATTGAATAGCTGCAGCAATTCAAAACTCAGGCAACTTAGATGCAGACTCTTGGCCTACAGGGCAGCGTGAGGACACAAGGCCATGTCGTGGTCATGTCCTGAGTGCACACTCTTGCAACCCAACACTTAATGATTTCCTTTGTGAAAAGAGCTCTAAGCTTTTTTTTTCCCCTTCCTTCCTTTCTTCCTTCCATCTTCACATTAACTTGTGGGGATGAGTTGTATGGAACTCTCCAGTTAGGTAAAACTGGAAGAAATATTTGCATTTAGTTCCATGCAAACAACAGCTTATATCCAAAAGGCAGTCCATCTTGAGTAACAGGGAAGGAAAGACCCTTACTTCCACAGAAGAACAAGCCAAATCTGAGGCTCAGTAGCTATTCATGGTCACCATAAACCACTAATTCACTAACTTACATTGATTCCTCCACAAAGCAGGTAGCCAGTATAATACTCCTCTCACCTTTTTGTTCCTTGCTCTGCCCCAAACTTAGACAAAAATGCAATGTAGCAAAGGTAAGCTAATTGGCCCAAGCCAATGCTTCTGGATTTGATTTAATGAATTTGAGTTCATAGGAAATTGATAGAGGAGTATGTGCATGTGTGAAGGAGGAGGGGGCAGGGACCATAGACACATTTGTGGCTCCCCTCTTCACCTTTTATAAGCAAGTGCTAAAAGAAACACTTTTTAAAATCATAACAAATTGAGCTTTTACAGGGTGACTAATACACTAATCCCCTATAGGGATAAACGGAGGTCTGGGCTACCTTTGCTCCTAGAAGCACAGCACAGGCCCCAGCATGATATAATACCTGGTTTCTCCTAGACTTATTACATTAAAAATGTGTTACAGGTGCAGAAAAATTCCAATCTGGTGAAAGGTTGTTAGAGAAGGAGACCAAAATTAGAGACAGGATCAGGTTTCCACACAGATCCAAGTGGAAAATTTACCCCCGCTGACTGGCACATTCCTGCTTGATGTCATTCCCACCCACCCCTTCTCTTTATTTTCCTCCCCTACTCTCTCTCTTCCCCCACCCCACATAGGTCTACACTGCAGAGGGACAGGGGATCAAACTCCAAGAGCTGATACCCAATCACTTCTACACGTGAGATGTAATTATGCCAGGAAGTGGCTCTACCTATTCAACATGAAAGTGGAGATGGGTCTTGATAGTGTCCCAAAGCAATCGGGGTAGTTTTCATAATGATAGGCCACAGACCACTCTCCTCAGGGGCAATCAGGAGATGACCACCAGGCTCTCTGATTGGAAGTCTGGGATTCTCCTCCTTAGATCAACTGACATGGTATTAGTCCTGACTTCCCTTTCAAGTTAACACGGCCAGGGCCACCCCCTAAACCCAATCTTTGTGCATCCTCCTCTACACACACACACACACACACACATCCTCAACTTCAGAGTTCTGATGAGGTTAAAGAATTGTATGGTAAAACCCTGCAACAGTACAAAGTGAGTGCTCAATAAGAATTTGTCTCTTGAGAAAAACCCAAACAATTGCAGGCTCACCTCAAGTCATATTTAATCTGTTCCCTCTTCCCTGCTCCTCCAGAGGAACTTTGACATTGGCCCCAAATTTCTTGGGGACATTTTTGTCACTATCTTTTCTAACAGCAAAGAGAATGTAGTATGTTCCACAATGCAATTTTCCAGAGAGAGAAGGGCTTTAACAAAAGCTTAGGCCACAACTAATTAATCTCTATATCCCTAGAGAACATCCAGGGTCCAATTCCCAAAAAATTCCTCACCTTCTCAAATCCCAAATCTTGTAATTGGCCTCTCCCCAAACCCTGGGAAAGAGAAGTCCTGCTCACACTTGTCTGAGAGGAACAAGACAGTCTTTATAAGCAGCCTAACTGGCAGTAAGTATTTCTCTCATGGAGAGATTCCTCCAACCATGACTTTCCAGGGTCACTCAGCTAACTAGAAACCTAACATGTGACATTGTCTCTGAAGATTTTACACACACACACACACACACACACACACACACACTCCATAAAAGCATTTCAAAAGGCTTGTAGAAAATGTTAGCCTTTTACGTCAACTTTTACTTAAAATATCCTCATATATTCAAACTTGTGACACTTTTGTCACATCCGTGATATCATTTAATCCTCACACAAACCCAGCGAGGTTCATTGGGTAATTTTACTGTATGTACATCACAGATGAAGCCACAGTTCAAGAAACCATGTGCCAAGATCAGATCAAAGAGTATCCCAAGAGTGGCAGCGTTTGACAGTGACAGGGGGCGATACCACCACTTGGGATGTCCACATTCCATTTCAGAATGCCTGTGTTCAAGCCCCGGCCCTGCTCCTGTTTGCAGCTTCCCTGCGAATGTACACCTTCGGAAGCAGCAGGGATGACTCAAGTAACTGGGTTATTGCCACCCACGTGGGAGACTTGGACTAAGTGTCTGGGTCCTGCTGTGTCCATTTGTAAAGTGTAGATGTCTCTTGCTCATTCTCACTCTACCTTTCAAATGCGTGAAATGGAAACTAAACAGTAGTGAGAGAAGATTCGAATGTCTGTCTTCTGACTCCTATCTCTGAGTCCTTCCCCTTCTGCCAAGCTACTTTACACTCCTACCCTCCTTTTCTCTGCATCACTTTTAAGGTATGATCTTAGGGAAGCCATGACACAGCCTGCTTTCCTTCTCACCTCCTTAGCCATTCCCGGTGGCCCTAGGAACCCCATGTTGTCTTCATACACCCTAAGTTCTTAACTACCTTGTCTGCATTTTCTCATTGCCTTCCAGATCATTCCTACTCTAACATGGACATAGGAGTCAGAAAGATTAGCAGAAATCAGGCAACTGTGATGCACTTAAACAATTGGATTTTTTTAAACAATTGGATTCTAACAAAACTTGTAAGCAATGTTCATTTAAAGATTATTCATAATTGGGCATGTTGTAATAATTGCTCAATTGGCTAATCCTTCCCCTTCATGCACTAGTATGTCCCAGCAGCTCCACTTCCCATGCAGCTCCCTGCTTGTGGCCTGGGAAAGCAGTGGAGAACCGTTCAAGTCCTGGGGACCCTGCACTCATGTGGAAGACACAGAAGAGGCCCCTGGTTTCAGATTGGCTCAGCTCCAGCTGATGTGGCCGCTGAGGGAGTGAACCAGAGGACAGATGATCTTTTTCTTTTAATGTCTTTTTCTCTGTAAATCTGCCTTTCTGACAAAAATAAGTAAATCTTTTTAAAAATTATTTTTAAGGACCAAAGAGTAGAAACAACCTAAATGTTGAAATAGCTGATGAGTGCCTAAACAAAATGCTATATATCCATATGATAAATACTATCCAGTCACAAAAGTGGGTGTTTACAGTAAAATCTCAGTCCAAGATTGAAAATTCGTAACATGTACATTTTTATCATGTATATAATTTTAGGCCCACAACCTCTGCCATCCTGGCCAGTTCAGCATCCATACCTCATCTGGAAAAGCAACCATCTACTGTGCCTCCAAAAAGCTTGTAACACATCTGTTCACAGAAAAGAGATTGGATATGCTCTCCCTAATTGCCAATACACTTCTCTCCCAGAGGTCCAGTCCCACACCCCACCACCTCCAGGCCTCTCCGTTCATGTTTAATAAACATTATTTTCAACACCGACTAGGTGCCAGGCGCTCTACTGGGTGCTATAGAAAAAACAAATGAATAAGTCAAGCTGTCTGCTCTCAAGGAGGGAGACAGACTTGTAAACAAATCAAGGTAATACAAGGCAGAATTAAGGCAGTGCTTGATAGCAGTACAAACAGTGTACTATGGGAGAACAGACAAAGCAGCTATTAACTTCGCTTGGAAATATCAGGAAAAGGTGTTTCAGAAGAGGTGCCATTTGCTAGAGCCTTGCATTGGGTTATCAGGTAGAGAGGAGAGAGAAAGACAGGAAGGAGTCGGGGAAGTAGAGTCAGAGGGAGAGAAGGATTAAATAAGATGGAAAAAAATTAGTGAAGGGTCTGATAAAGAAATGAGGCAGATCACACCCACCCTTGGCCCAAGAGGACCTTTCACAATCTTACTGCTTTTATTACTCTGGGTTACATGAATGCTTACTGTACATTTCCCTCACGTACTTAAATGTGAGCTTCATGAAAAGAATGGTCTCTGACGGTCATCGGGATGTTATTAATGTCCTAGCACAGTGCTTGTCACAGAATATATGCTGAGTAAAATTTGGTTGGAATGGGTGATCATGAACCAAAACATAAATAATTAAAAATAAGGCTGGAAGAAGCATTTTGGCTACAGAAGAGACATGAAAGGTCATGATGGAGGCGAAGGTCCCTGCAGGTGGTACAGACCCCTCAGCTCTCACATTGGTTTTGGAAGGCCTCTCTAGTGTACCTCGAGTATATGCATCAGACACCTTCTTCCACTTCCCATTTATGTCTCAGGCTCCAGAAACAGACTAGTGGAAGATCAGTGACTATGTAAAAGCAAGAAAATATATAGTAAACGCTCAGTAATTAGCCTTCAGATATTTAATTAAAGAGTAAATTACTTCATCCCAGCATGGTGTCATTTTTTACATAGCCATAATATGCTCCTAACTCACATTCTACTTGTGGTCAGTTCTGACTCGCTCATGTTTTCCTGTTACCCTCTTACCCATCCTATATTTGCACTTTTGGGTTTGGGTCTTGACAAAACATTTTTCTATTAAGTTTCAACCCTAATTATGATAGGCTTCTTTTTCCAATGCATTGAGCCATTCATAGCTTTATTGCTTACTATTTTCCAGAAATTCAAAACCACACAAAATTTAGGACCCACAAATTTGGTACACACATTTTTGATTCCCTTGTCTGGAATGTCCATAAATAAGCTGAACAGACTGGCCCTTCTTGGCTATCACTCAATATGCTTCCTATTTCCACATCAAAGGCATCATCTACAAATCTTCAATCCAGATATTTAGTTTATTAAAGTAATGCATTTAAGAATCTACTCTCCCCAGGTTAGTGAAACACACGACACTGTCATCTTATGTGTGTATCTTCTATAAGAAATTAAAGATGTCTGTATGATTTGCCTTTTTACAAAAGCAAGCTGACCCCTCTTTAGGATCCCAGATTTTCCCAGGTAACTGCAAACTGATTGTTGGTTGGTTCTTTCTCATTTTTCCTAAAGATCAGTAAGTTGGAGGTCCCTTAATTGCCATCATCCTGTGTTTCTCCTTATTCTTTTTCTAATCTTCAGGGACCTTTCCAGTTCTCAATGATCTCTCTAAAAGAAGATTCCTTGGCCCTGTAGTCACATCTGTTTGTTCAGCGAGTACCACAAGTACCACCAGGATGCACATCATAACAGCCTGATGATTTTTCCTCCCCCCTTTACCCAACTCACTCCCTTTCATTAGTCACTCATAGCCCAAAAGTTTATTTGACTCAACTTTCTCCACCTACTTCTCTGTGCTACACAGATGAAGTAGAGGTTTTAAAATGTCAGCCTTACCCATCTTCTGGTATTTATAAGATTCTTTTCTTTGCAATCACAAGATCACTTTTTTTCTCTTCTTGCCAGTTTCTGCAAGTTGTCTAGGCTTACTTCTCTGTACACAATGGTTATCTCTAACGGTTACCCAATTGGTAACCACTTTTATTTTCTCTTTGACTAGTCCTATATATCGTTTAAAAGATCTGATTTAATTTCTACACGTGGTGTGTAAGTTTTAAAAAAAAAAAAACAGTATGGAGTGCTCAGAACAGAAAGCAATGGAAACACACAGCCCTACCACTTACTTCATAGTGTAGTTCAAGAAAAATTAGATAAATATTATACATATAATTTAAGAATTTCTGCTTTATGCCCACATTGCCTCAACCAAAAAAATTTCAGAGTATTGTGACTATCTGCTTACTCATCTGTCTTTTGTGGCTTCCTCAACAGTAGGGACCATATTGTGTTCCCTGAAACCCTGATGCCTCCCATGGTCCTTGACACATCACATGAACACTCCAAGTGCTGACAAGAAATACAACAGAGGGGACTGTACACAATAATATACGCAGGTGTATCAAGTGGTTAAATCCACAGAGCACGGCTCACTCAGAGTACAGTGGGCCAAGAAGGCCTTGTAACTGTGCCATACTGAATGCTACATGAGTGCAAAGGTTTGAAATGTTTGCTTTTATTTCCTTCTTGCCTTCCTATGAATTTAGTGGTAGAGATGATTCCCTACATTTCACCTTTTATATGTGTGTGTGTTATGTAAACTCATAAATATATGTATACATAATTTATGTCACACATTTACTTCACAAATATGATGTGTTAATTAAAAATATAAACAGGTGTTACATCTCATACATTCATGATGTTTAAATCAAACTAAGGAATACATCTCGTGTCCCACTACTTTTTGTGTAATAAGATATTTAAATTTATTCTCTTATTTTACCCCTTTTGAATACCAGGCTAAATTCTAGGCTGTAGAAAACTTTATAACTGGTAGCCTAACTTACCACTCCTAACTGTGTGCCTCACACCTGACTGCCCAAATGTTTAAAAATCTTATCCATTGATACAGGGGGAGGAAAAAGGTAGTCTGCATTATCCAATTATTAATCATACCGGTGCCTACAACTGTATAAGGAAGCAAAGTCATAACTCAAATAATGCACCAGAGAAGTGACCACATTTACAACAAGATTCCATCCCAGCATCCCTCTGTGCTTGCCTGGGTTGGCATTGGTTACTAAAGCAACTACTTGGATCAGTTTGCTGCTTCTGCAATACCGTGGGGCAAAGAAAAGTGAATTTAACGTGAAGCTAGTATAAAGCAAAAGTAAAATGGAGTCCTGTGAAAGAAGCAATGCTGAAAAGCGGGCGATGTGCAGCTCTCCTCCAGTCACAAAGTCACAACAGAAAAATGACCAGTAGACAACTGAAGATGGATGAGGATGACTTGAGTGTCACACATTTAAGAGGCCAAGGGAAAAAAGAAAACTTGAAGTCCTCGCTTAACTTTTGCAAAAATTATCCGCTTTATGATGACATCCGAAGAGTCCAGTATGAGAAGTGCCGTGTCAGTTGTAGGCGTGGTCTAACAGAGTAAGCTGAGCGGTAGGAATGCGGTGCAGCTGTGGAGAATCTGGGAGGATGGCTGCATCTCAGGTCTGAGTGCCTGGGTGTGAGTCAGAGCTCTGCCCCCCTCCCCCCGATTCCAGGCTCCTGCAGCAGACTCACAGGGTTAGATCTCTGCCATCAAATTGGTAGACTTGGATTGAGTTTCCAGGTCCTGGTTTGGGTCAAACTCTGCCCCAGCTGTTATGGGCATTTAGGGAGTAAACAAATGGATGAAAGATCTTTGCCTTTCTCCCTCAAAGTTGCTCATCTTTTCAAATCGTTTAAATTGTTTGTATTCTGAAAAATAAACCTGTAAAAATTAAATTTTGGGCCCAGTGCAGAAGCCTAGCAGCTAAAGTCCTCACCTTACATGCACCGGGATCCCATACATGAGCTGGTTCTAATCCCGACAGCCCCACTTCCCATCCAGCTCCCTGCTTGTGGCCTCGGAAAGCAGTTGAGGATGGCCCAGAGCCTTGGGACCCTTTACCCATGTGGGAGACCTGAAAGACTCCAGACTCCTGACTTCAGATCGGCTCAGCTCTGGCCATTGCAGCTGCTTGTGGGGACTGAATCAACAGAAGATCTTCCTCTCTGTCTCTCCTCCTCTCCGCATATCTGACTTTGCAATAAAAAATGTTAAAAAAAAAATTAAATTTTGAGGCATAAATGAGTTCAGCCAAAGCCTGCAATGCCACCAGCTCACCTCAGGGCACAATTTCAAGTCCTGGCTGCTACACTTCAGATGTAGCTCCCCAGTAGTGGCATCTGGGAAGGCAGATAAGGATGGCCCAAATGCTTGGGCCTCTGTTACCCAGTTGGGCAACCTGGATAGAGTTGGTAGCACCTGGCCTTGACCTGGCCTAGCTGTGATCATCTATGCCATTTAGGGCAGTGAACCAAGGCACAGGTCTTTCTGTCACTCTACCTTTCAGATAAATACATCTTGTAAAGCAAAGAAAAATTTAAGTTGAAAAAGAATTAAGCATGACTCAGTCCCATAATTAATATATAACTGTAACTACAACTTAAATGTTTACAAGATGACACACAATATAGCTCCTGGCATTACTTGTTTCAATTTTAAAGACGAAGACTCAAACCTTTCTCCCTATTTGCTATAAATGTGACTCTACTTGAGATGGCTTCATTTAAAATGTTTCCATTTGAGTTACTCTGAAATTACAGAACTTTCTGTAGCTGCTTTGTCAGCTTTTACACTTGCACATGTCTGCTTTCTCCCAGCTAAACTGTAAGCCCTCCAAGGACAGAAATTATGGATTTTATTTTTCTTTATTGCCTGCCTCCAGCACAAGCAGCTTCTTCCCAATTCCGTAACCCACATGTCCACCCCTGGCAGAGAAATCTGGGGGAAATAATCACACAGAATATATTATTAAAGACTTCTTACCTGACTTGGAAGGGAATTCTCCTGAAGGTAAGACCAGCTGCACCACCAACACTTCCCCAGCATTCATGGCGGTACCTGAGGTTTCCCACATAATTATTTAGCCACAGTTCCGTCCCTTCACCACGGGCCCACCTTATGCAGGAAAAGCCTGAGCTCGCCTTTGAAAGCTCTTCTTTGTTCTTGTTTTTTTTTTTAACTTTCATCCTCAGGATATCCTCTTCTATCACAAAAGGAGTCATCAGCGCCTCTCTCCTGGCTTATACCTGGGTTACCTAAAGCTGTGCAGCTCTGTGGATCAGATCAAAGTTCTGGTCACTCAGAAGTTACCCAACATTCTCTGTCACGTGAAGATCCGTGAAAACAACAACATTTCCAAGTAAGTGGTCAGGAGTTGGGGTATACTCCGGGATGAGACAGCAGCTTGAGTGCCCCAACTGATAAGCCAGCTTAGACCATAAAGTGTCATTTCTCAGTGCAGCTTCTGTAGTGAGATGTCTCACGGCGGGCCTGGTGCAACAGGGGAACTGAGTTTTAACACGGAGATTAGGAAGGCTTTCAGTGTCACTCGAGAGGAGGGATGGGCCCATTAAGACAGTGCACTATCCTTTCATCCCCTTTCTGCACTGCGCATGATGCAATCACTGGTGCTCGACTGGTTCATGGACACACAGCCTTTTCTTTCAACACTGCTACTTGCAGTATTTTTTTTTTCTTCACAGTCAAAAGTAGTCATGTTCTTTGCTGCTTTTAAGTGGCACCTTTAGGGATGGATTCTAATAGAGCTGCTGGTCTTAAAAGACTGTTTTTCCCCCTAACCCCTTAGCGAAAGGACTTTGTTTCCCCTACCCCTTATGATTCTCCAGGGGAGAGAAGAAGGAACAAGACCTAAGCTTCTGGAAGCTTGCTGTATGGTTTGGCATTTGGTGAATCACCCTGTTAGCTTTGGGAAAGTTGCCCAATCTTGGTAATCCAGCTCAACTTTACAACTAACCTTCATAACAGGCCTCAAGGTCCACAATACTAAACTGAATCAGTGTGCTCAGAGGACAAGAAATCCATTTATCTGTACACTTATTGGCATTTCTTTGCATGTGGGCTGCTTTTCAATAAAACATTTTTAAAAGAAAGTAAAAATAACAAATTTTGTCAAATTTTGCTGCAAATAAATGTGATCTATCTTCAAAAAAGAGTAACTGTTTTCAACATGGGGGAAAATGTACCCAACATAGGGGAAAAAACAAGGGGGGAAAAGGGGCAGAAACAAATAGAATAGTAAAACAATAATCTCCATAGTCCTTCAGCTTCAAATAGTATAAACTAGAACCTCAAAATCTATTTACATCCATGAGTTTGCTTATCCACATGGGGGAATTCCAATTTGGCCACCTGAAATTTTGTCCCTAAACAATCAAGACTTGATTAAGTGTGGTGTTTTACAGTTGATTAAGTTAATATCAATGAGGAAGAGAAGATGATCAAGACGAGCCTAGATGAGCATGGTCTCTGAATAACTCACTGGGTCCTACTCCGTCCTCGGTGTTCACTGATCCATCATACCTGGCCTTGAAGTCTGCCATCTGGTGGTCACTTCTACAACCAGCACTCATTAGATCTAAGTCCTGGGTTGATTGCACAATGGTGACTTCCATCCATCCACTTTTGTACTTAGGAGGCCTATGCTCTGTCTTTCAAGGTGATGGCAACAGATCGTCTCTTCTTGGGGGCATCCAAGTTTCATTTATACAGAAGACCCAGTAACCTCACTCTGCCAATTCCATCTTTCTCATCTTCATATCCCATACCAGTCAATGAGTAGTAGGTGTTTTACAGCATGCCCACTGGTAATTTACTTTCTAGTTGGATTACAGATCCTACTTTAGCAATGTGGTCTTTCGGGTTCTGTGTTTGCTTGTGCTTCTTATAAACCTCACATGGTTCAACATCAGAAATGGAAGGAAAAAAGCCATTTGCTAACAGGTTCTTAAGGATTTCAAAGATCTGTGAATCTAACAGTATGTCCAGATTACAGTAGGATTTCTTTTCTCCTTTTTTTTTTGCCTCTTAATTGGGACAAAGGATAGATTTTTCCCATATTCTTCTCCAGTGTAAGGGGTGAAAACAGAAACCTTTCAAAGAGGGTAGAGTATTTTTTGATGAAAAGTTCTTGCCACAATCAATTTGGTGTTCTGACCCACAGGCTGAAACCGAGACTAGTGTCTTTGAGGAAAACCCTCAGAAGATTTTCACAAGGGTGGGGGCATGTGTCAGCACCTTCTCTTCCAATCCCCAAAGAGCAGAGCATTCCTTTCGTCTCCAGCCTGTTCTCGGGGCATATTAGTATTCCCTGCAGAATTCCAAAGAACCTGGCCAAGTTCTGTCTAGAGACTTGTCTCAAATTAACCTGTGGAAACAATGTTCCTGACGTGGCATTTACCTTGATCCTTTCAAGCTCTTTCTGCCTTCTGCCTACCACACATCTCTCGCCTCCAGCATGACATTTGGAAAAATTCACCGGAAAGGACCATAGAGCACACTGAATACAGCCATAGATGACTGGTTTGCAAGGAGGATCAGAGCCACAGTGTGTGTCCCCTGGTTCCTTTTATTGGAACTGCTCGATGTTCCTGTTTGTGATTCTCCTCAAGCTTTTGGAAGAGGACAGAAACCAAAATAGCCCCCATGATTACAACAGGCTAGGGTTGAAATGTGCCATGTGGTTTGTTGTCTGAGTTGGACTAGAGTCCTGTGGTTACCCAACTGCAGAATTAACCAGCAGATGCCCCCGTGGTAAAACGTGGTCACAGAACTTAGAGGATCAGCAGGGAAAGAAAAATGAAGACAGTGATGAAATTATGATAAAATATTTGAATGAACCAATCTCAAAAAATATATTCATACAAAACAGACCCCATGTTTAAGGTATGTGTGGTTTGACAGGTGAATGCAGCTTGCGAAATAACTCATTTTAAACTGCATCTGAGTGGCAAAAAGTTTAAGTTTCATGAATTGCATGAGGTTTTAACCAACAAGAATATCCAAGTTGAGGGCATATAAGTTCTGAGCATGTTCTGAACTTTTGTTATATTTCTAATTTTAACTTTACTCAACATACAGAGAAGAGTGGGAGTGGGTCCAAAAGCTTTCTGGCTCTGAAGTTATGGAAAGTGCGAATCATACTGCTGACTGCCCCATGCAATTGTTCTATGAGCTCCAGACGGCAGTGAAAGCTCTCCTTAAGCAAATCAATATACCTCTACACCAGGTACTGAACTTTTTAGCACTCTTGTTTTTATGGCTCATGGAAACTGCATTGTAGCATAAAGCTAACTCAAGAGGTGTGTGGGGGGGTGTGGGTTAATATGTTTATATTCACTTATTTAAATATTACTTTGCATGTATATAAATGTGTTGAATTTGACTCCAATAAGCAGACACGGACCACATTTATGCTTCATTTCCCCAGTTCCTCTTTGGATCATCATTTTCCAAGTTTTCTAACCCTAAACCACTATACTGTGGCATTGTCAAACAAGGGACAATCATTTGTCAGACCCCTTGCAAGAACTCAAGGCTCGAGTTCTGGACAGCAGGAAGAGAACAGGATCCGGAAATAGAGTATACTTGAATATGCAAATAATTTTTCTAAGAAGAATTTGTCAGCAAAACTCTTCCCACATGAATTAAAATATGCAAACCTAACCTCTGTTATTAAGACAAACTGCTGGCATAGAAGAGAATAGTAAATGCATATTGTGCTCTATTAGAAGTAGGTTAACATTATATAGCCTTTGGGTGGATTTGGATTTTGTTTTGTTTTGGCCTATGTTCACCATTCCTGCACTCCCCTTCCCCCCTGCAAAAAGTACATACATGTGCAAATACACACAAAGTGAACCAAGGTTCGTCTATCAACAGACCATCACACAAGTGACTAGCTGTATTTAAAACATAAATTGGTTCTGACCAGTGGAGTCTGGGGGAGGTAGTTACTTAGCTAATACCAGAATCTCCATCCATTTGGGTACCCCTCCTATTGTAGTTATTACTGGAGGATTAGCTCAAAACAGTCAATACTGATTACTAGATTGCCATAAAGATGCCATAAAGACACCAAAAGAGCAAATGAATTATTCCAGAGGTGAGCGTAAGCTCATAAGAAGGGAAAAAAAAAAAACTCTGCTGTGACAGTAGATACTATTAAAGGGCTTCTTAGGCTTAGCAGGCTTGAAGCGGCTCATATTTCATTGGTGACTCTTGGGCTAGACATACATGTTGGGAGAAAGCTGCCTAACTGCCTAACAGTACATACAACTTTTTTTTTTTTGATACTTGTAAAATTTTCTCAGTCCTTGGCCAGAAACTACATTTTTCCCCCTTAACCAACTTAAATTGAAACTAGTGCATTTTTAATTCAATCCATTTTTGTTGCTTCGTGTAATTATATTCATCATTTTGAAAAAAAAAAGTCCACAGAATGCAATCATTTTCTGCCTTTATAAGAAGCATAAATGTTGTTTTCAGAGTTTATGTGGAACATGACTGCCTTAAATCTTGATTTTATATAGCATTATTAAATGGGCTGAACCCTAATATTTATGTTGTATAAAAATTCCAAGCTTGAAGTCGTGTAATTTTGTTAGATGTTTTATGCCAGTTTGGTGTTGTTTATGTAAGTACCATGTTGTAACTCTCCTATTTTTCCTCCGCGCGTGTCCCTCTGCAGGCAAGGAACTTCCGCCTCTACACACAGGAGGTGTTGGAAATGGGTCACAATGTGTCCTTTCTTCTCCTGCTCCCTGCCTCAGACGACGTCTGTACAGCCCCAGGACAGAATAATCCTTACACCCCACACTCAGGGTTTCTTAACCTCCCTCTTCAGATGTTTGAACTTGGTATAGTAGCTTGTTTCACCTAGAAATATTAACCCAGCCTCCTTATAATAAAATCACAAAGTTATATCTGTTCCCCCTTGTCCCAGTGGAGGGTCAATAAATCACATGATGGCTTTGGCAACAACCCTTCCTAGAACTGTGTACGAGTCTGAGAAAAAGCAAAGCTCCGAGACTATGTGCCGAAGCAATAATTAGAGAAACCTAGCTAAGGCCCAATGGAGAGAAAGGAATTCTAAACAGAAAGTTTAGTTCTCAGGCTAGACTCCTCACCTCCACTTTGGTTTCTTAAGCCAAGAACTGATGTTTTCATGAAAAGCACTGCCTGCCTTTCTCTTTCTCTTGTATCATTCTCTTTCATCCTCACCTCTAACCGGGAGAAAAAAATCATTAAATTAACAAGTAGAATGTGCATCACTGTGGAGCAGGGTAAAAAGTCTAACTTTCAGATGTGATTTATTAAGCAAGACTCTAAATTTCTGGCAGAGACTTTGAGAAATGGACAGGCTCTTCCCTCCTAGGACACAAAATTGTGATTAGCCTGTGAGATTCTGAATAGAAGATCACCTTGTCCTGACTTTCAGAAATAAATGGCCTGGGCACCATCTTTCTGGTTTTGCGAGACCCCTGCTGCCCACTGAGAATGGGAATAGTGAGGCTTTGTCTTCCTTCCCAGCTTCATCCTGCAGCAGGCCAGTGAGAGGCAATTAGCAAGTGCTCCCTTCATTCCACTGAACTGTATGGCCTGTAGGAAATTTAGTACTGAATAAGTGGGTGGGTGGATGGTAGCAGACCCTCTTTGGATTGCTACCTGCTACAAGATTTAGAAGCAGATGAGGCAACTACCTGGTATCTCATTTTGAGACAGAGGCATCTACTTAATTTATCGCTCAAGGATCAACGTGTAAGCCTCATGCCCAAAGCTGATGAACAGCAATGCTTTTTATTTGTTTGATTGTTGTTTTCAGAGATGAGGGCTTGTCCTTAGAAGAAGCTTTGATCAGATATGTGGACTGGGACTTGGAAATCCTGGGGCCCCTATTGTGTGACACTGGCAATCACTTAATCATATCACATGGAAAAGGTGCAGTAAGGTTAACACCACCACGTTTCACACTCCCAAGAATGAATGCAACTACTAAATGAGTTCTTCAGCCAAGAATGCACTGCTGTTATTACGATTATTGGTACTGAGGCAAAGTTTTCAACTGAACTTAATAACCACCCATTGGGTGTCCTCTTTGGAGATCTAGAGAAGATTAAGACAAAGCCTCTGCCCCTCCGGGGACTCTCAGTACAGGGAGAGGAGATAAAAATGTAAATTTTTATAAAATGAGATGGAATGTGAATTCAGTCATAAATATTAACTGACAGTGAGGAAAAATAAGAAAACACATTTCCACAGTGAACCGATCAGAAAGCCTGCACATAGGAGACAATATTTGATGTTGTATTAAAGGACAGGATGTTAATAAACATAAAAAAAAAAACTTCTTTGTTGGGGAGTAGAATGATCAAATGTAACAGGAAATCAGAAAGACTCAGGAAAAGAAGTGGTACAGTTTGGCTAAGTCAGAAAGATGAAAAAATGGTGGGGCACATTGCAGAACCAAGTGGAGTCACACAGGCTCGATCCAAGGAGTTAGGCTGAGGAACGTATGTCAGATGAATTAAAAATAAGAGCTAAAAACATTGAGTACTATGAGTATGACAATCCAATGCCAGGTTAGGAGCCAAAAAAGAATGGGAAAAGACAAAGCAACAGATATAGACAGAGGAAACACTGGGAGCGATCAGCAGGAGTAAGAAACTATTTAAATGAGAAGGAGCCCTAAGAAGATGTTTGTAGTCTGTGTCACAGGGCACATACGGTTCCCTTATAAGTAATGAAAATACAGGGGAAAATAACTTGGAAAAGAGATGCTGTGAGCTTTCAGTAGGTTTAGCCTGAAGATACTGAGTGTATATCTAAATGGCCATGTCCCATTGGCAGTAGAAATGCAGGAAAAACTGGCTACTAAACACAAAAATATAAAAGTTTTATTAACAACTGTTGAAGTTACAAAAACAGATGAATTCCATGGTATAGATAACTGACAGGGAGAGGCACCAGGGAAAACCACTTTATTGGAGAGCTAACCAGGATTCCATTCTCTGTGATTATAACAAAAATATATGAAATTCATTTCATCAGGCTTCAATGGCCTTGGCGGGAATAATCAGTGATTTGGCATCAACCAAAACAGGACACAACCCCTAACTTAAACCCTGTGCCAGGCCAGGCCAGGGTCCCTTTCTATCCTGATTTCCACAAGGCTCAAACATGCCTCTTGGTTAGCCATGGCTAGCCTCACTGTTGTTACCCTCCACTTCACAGTCTAGTGGAGTCTGTTAGCAGCCATTGCCCTTCTAGGATCATTTGTTCATCCATTCTTCAATAAATATTACCAAGCAGCCTAGATGCCAGGTGCTATTCCAGGAACTGAAGAATCAGCAAGGAACTAAATTACATTCTAGTAGGGGAGACAGACAATAACCCAATCAGCAATCACACTGTCAACGTCAAAGCAATGAATCAGGGAAAGGGACTAGAGGCAAGAGACAAGAACTGCAGTGTATGTAGGATGATGTGGGAGAGGCCCTCCAGACAGGATGCAATTGAACAGAGATCTGTGCTACCCAGGCAAAGGAATCGACCAGTGCAAAAGCCTTAGAATCACAGTCTGCTTCTGGCTAATGGATCAGTGTAGCTAGAGTGTGATGACCAAAAGCAAGGTAGGTGGGAGATGAGCTCATAAGGTTTTGTAAGTCATGATAGGAACTTTAGATTTTACTTTAAGCATGTTGGCAATCCAGTGCAGGATTCTGACCAGTAAAGGGACAGATTAAAAGCTCTGAGAAATCCAGTAATACTCTCCACCCTAACAAAAACAAACTAAAAGACTTAGCTTGATTTAACCCAGCACTTTAAAATTCATCTGACCAGGACTGAAAACATTTAGCATGACACCTACTAAAAAACAGAAATAATGCACATACACACACACACAGAGCACACAAACTCTCGGATACGGTGCCTTTCATTCGTACTTCTGGGACTAACGTGTCTAAGAATCAGCTTGTTAAAACAGAGGTTCCTGAAACCAACCCTGGAGACTGCCGAGTGTGCTTGAGGAAAGGCCGGAAAAGGAACATTTCTAGAAAACTCCCAGGCGATTCTGATACCACCAATCCACAGGCCACACTTTAAATAGCACTACCTAGGACACAGTGATGAATCCATTTTAGAAACTTTAGTGGTTTAGGAGATGTGGTTAATAGTATAATGGTATAATCCAGACTGTACCTCTTTAGCCTGTTTTTACCTATTGTAAAAAGCTATATAAATCATTAGATATTATCCCTCACCTATTAAAAAAAAAAACAGATCAAAGCTGGGTGACAGCAGTTTGTGACTTTAAGATGTTCTTTCCTTCAATAATAGATAATGTCTTAGCTACCCCTGGCACTCCCTTTCTGCCATCTCACTGATGGCACAACTGATTATTGAAGACAACGTATGTCTTTAGAAAAGACCCGGCTAGGGTTGGTCCCATTGCATGCACAAACCCATCAGCCATTTTTTTAGGGACAAGAGAAAAATGTTTCCAGTATCAAGAAAATAACATACTCTGGTTCAGCATTTGCTGCATTTCAATACCATGGGCAATAATCTGAAAAAGACTGTTGGCTCTCAATGAGAATTATGACAACTCTGCCTTACCAATCAGAGCCAAGCAATCAGAGCCTTCCAAGAGGCACACTGTCATAGCTACTTCCTTCACTAGTGCCTTAGCCCACTAATCATTCAATAATTTTTCATCTACGAGTCTGCTAGATTGAACTTTTAGCCCCTCTTAGAAAAATGCTAACATATCATTTTTTGAAAGATTTCTAATGTCCATGGGCAGTTCCATAGTAAAAGACCAAATGATACACTAAACAGGTCTGAGAAAGGAGGGAATGTTTTTGGAAATTCAGTTAGAACTCAGAATGTTTTAATAACAACATTGGGAATTCTAATGAAACTTGAAAAGGTGAGAGTTACAGGAATATGTAAATTATAATAGAATAAAGGGTTATACTATATTTCAGCTTGACTTATGTAAGTCATCCCTGTCTCCATGAAAGGACCTGAGATTTGGCACACTGACCACACTCCTGCCAGCAGACTAAGTGAATCATAAATAACTTGCTGACCAGCTATGGAAACCTGCATCCGTGCCTGTTCCAGCACTAAACAGACCGAGCAAGGACAAAGTGATAAAAGAGCTTATCTCTGAGTCCTACAGAAGAGACTGGGGCAAAGCCATAGGGTATTCCTGATTCAGATTTCTTGTGGGGTCAAGAGACAGTATATGTTCAATAGAAGGATTGTGTGAGGTCTGGCTAGGCAGGAAGAACCAAAGTGAAGTGGTACAACTTCACTAGAGACCAATATCCCTCCCCACAGCCTAAGGGCTGACACCCCTATCCTCTGGATAGGACTGCTAAGCAAGGTGGCAAGGCACCTGTACATATCACTGTTTACACAGTTCTCAGGAACAAAGGAAAATCAGCATCATGAGTTGTTAAAAACCATTTCGTGGCATAGCTTCCTGAGGATTTGCCTAGCCTGCACTGAAGTCACGCTGCCCAGACTCAGTGGCCAGTCACACCATTGACAGTGAGCTGATGTTGAGGAAAGCTGATTTTTAATGATTGCTTTGGCTCTGTAAGTCTTAATTATGCCACACAGACCCCAAAACACTGAAGAGTTTGAAAATAAATAGTTTGAGGCTTGGTATATATATCATACATCTGTTCTTGGCCACATTCTTCATTTAACATCTATCAAGCATTCACCGTCTTCCGGGTGCTGTGCTGAGGTTAGGACATACAATCAATCTGCCCTCCAAAGAATCAGAATGGAATAGGGGACAGAGTCTATACCAGTAGTCCTAATGCACTCAGTACTGCCAGAGAGGGAGGGGACTGAACTTAAGAGAAGACACCTGATCCTTTCAGAGTATACCTGCACCTGATCTTGAAGGATAAGCAGGTATTCAAAGAGGAGGAAGAAAGGCTAGACAGAAAACAGAAAAATGTAGCCTAAGCAAGTGCATTCTTAGAAGCCCTTTAGGATGCCCTAAGCTTAAGGCAACTGAGAGACTGGAATAAGGCTAAGCCAAAAGTTGAAAATGTCATAATCATGAAGAGTTTTTATATGTGTCATCTTGGGAAGGCTAGCACGCTTTCCTGTGTAGGCAGTACGGAGCCATAGTAAGATTGCAAGAAGAGGAGATGGTCTTGGGGATTTTAGCAGCTCTGGAAGGACACACTGCAGGACAGAAGAAAAAGGTGGGGGTTGACTGTTGGGAAACTATCTCACTATTCCATATGAGCAGTGAGAACAAAAACAAGGTAACCACAGTGTGGTTGTAGAGGAGAAACTCAGACACAACAGGAATTCAGGGGTTAAAAATCAACGAGATTTTGTGATTGATTTGATGTGGTTGAAGAACAAGATAGAGGAGCCAGAGAGTCTGCACAGGGTGCTGAAAGGGCTACTACTGCCATCCACCAACACAGAAACAGGAGGGAGGAAAAGGTTTGGGGGAAGGGTGAGATGATGAGTTCTGTTTGACAAATGATGAGTCTTGAGGTGCCTGCGGGATATCCAGGCAGTGAGCCTAATGGAATCCAGGCCACAGGCTTGCAAGAAATGGCATGGCCTCAGACTTCATTCCTAATGCCTAATTTTTATGATTTAGGATGCCATGTCTGGATTTCAACCACCAGATTGTCCACTACCAAGACTCTTCAGAGTGGCCCCTTGTGCCCAGGTTCCTTTGGATAGCTTGGCAAAGAGTCATCACACTCAACTTGCCCTAGGAGGTTATCTCACAGCCATTGGAAGGAAGCCTGGGGCTTGAAGCAGATTAGAATTTTAGTGAGCTGGAGATCCTTCTGAGTAATATTCCATTCCTAATTCTGTCCTAGTATTTCCAACACTGAACAGATCATTTGGGGGTGAGGGAAAGGTGTACAGGAGTGAGAGTGAGTGGGTGGTATGTGCCTTCTGTTGTGCTAGTCACTTTACATACATGGTATTACCCAGCTGCTAGAGGTTACCCAGCTACCCTCACACAAGTAGGAAGTGGCAGTACTATGATTCAAACCCAGGCCTGTCTGAAGTCTAAGCCTATGTATTTTCCTCTTTACCAAGTGTTAATGCCAACCATATGTCTGTCAGTCTTTTGTGATCTAATAGATTTTTAAAAAGGAGAAATAGAAAATTAGCCTTAGCTTGTGAACTACTAGCAAGTCATGTGGCCCAGATAATATTGTATCTTTATGCCATTTTGTCTATAAAATGCATGTGATTCACATTATAAAAAAAAAATTAGAAGCTTCCAGTCCATCTTCTACTCCTTGGCCATGGCTACCAAATGTATCATTGCTAAACCACAAAAGACTATGTTAAAGTAACATTTGTTAAAGTGACATTAAAGGCTCTGGATGAAAACCACCAGAGCGGGAAACTGAAGCGTTAGAGTAGAAACCTTCTCATAACTTGCTTGTGGTGCATGGCACAGACAGTGCAGGCACTGAGAGACCACCCACTGATCCAAGGTTCTCACCACCGCAGACATAACAAGAGAAAGCTGTGAACTCTCTGACTTTTCACAGTTCAGATGGGACCAATAGTGTCTCTTTTAAAGAAATTACTCAGTGTCTCTCCATATCTTCCTAGTCATGTGTTAAAGAGGGGAGGAGGAGCTGATTTTTCTCCAACTTGGTTTGGAAAAACGGGATTTGAGATGCCTCTCTCCTCTGCACAGTCAAGAGGGGACATCTGTCCAATACTAACAGGGTTATAATCCCCTCGTTGAAAAGCTTAAAGATACATCAGCAAGCCACAGATGCCCATAAATACTAAAGACCTGAAATGCACCTTTCACAACTCCATCAGGCAATGAGATGCGAGAACAGACGGAGAGGCAAGGGTCTGCTCTCTTCCCATCAGTTCTTGCATTTACCCACTTACTCATTCAGTCCAACAGTAAAGTTAGTTGAGAAGCTACAATGTTCCAGATCTTGAGGAAACAAATTCGTTGGAGATATAGTTCCTGCCTTCAAGGAAGCTACACTCCAACTTCATGACAGTCAAGCACACAATTTCAGTGGGGCAACATAAGCATCCTAACACATTAGCAAACCCAAAAGAGGAAACCAGATCTTTCCAGAAGGGAGGTGTTACCAGTAAAGACTTCACTAAGGAGAAGATATTGCTGCTGACCCTTTGGAAGTTGACATTAAGGTATAACAGAGAAAGTATCAGAAGTTGACCCCCAAATATTAATAAAGAAGCCTGAGGTACAGGAAAGAGAATGTTTAAAAGCATCACATGGCAAAGGACCTATACTAAGTTCAGCTGACCGAAGTGTAGAGTCGAGAATGATCAGATGATCAAGAATTAGAGATATATTCAAATCCTCAATTACTAGAAGATTTCCATATGGATAGATAATGTTTGTATTTTAAGTCAAGAGGAAGCTCCGTAGAGACTGTTAGATGAGGAAATGACATGAGATTATATCCTTTGGGAAGAGCTCCATGGTTTGTCACTTGATGAAGATATATAACTTCAGCTCTTCCATGTGTCGGGCAGGGGAGTGATAAACCCAGCAGAGAAAATGGGCAGCAAGAATCTAACAGTAGAGTGAAAATCAGCCCAGGCACTGGGACTACTGGCAGTGAGGATTACGCCTTTGAAACGAGGCACAGCTGGAGGAATGATGAGCCACTTAAGTCCTCACCACAGTCTTGTTTGCCATGCCCATGTGAGCAAAGACAGAGCCAAGCTACCCTCACACTCACACAAGATTTATTCCAAGAGGAAAATCAAGCAAGAGAGCAGGCGGTAGTGAGACGAGAACTGTAGGATACACCAAAAACCTCTGACTGCACAGAGAAATGGGGCTGCCACACAAAAGTGTAGAGGACCAGATGCCCCACTTTGAAGGAATGTGATTTTAACCCCACCCCCAGAAAACAACCACTCTGAGCCTCAGGAAGCAACACTAAGAGATGCAACAGCAATCTTTAGGTGAGGGCACCCAAGAATCGAAAGTGAAAGTGTTCCATCAGAGTTGCTGAGTTGTCAAAAACCCTATTCCCAAAGCATGGAACATGAACTGCGACCGGTCAGAGGTACACGCTGTAACTGAGGCTCCTGGAAAGGGAGCCTACAAGTTCAATGATGTCCTGGAAAAGAGTGATACACACTAGTCTGAGTTGGGATGTTCTCTTCATCCCACTAGCATCTGAAGTTACTATGGTCCATGATATAGATCAGAGGAGTGCAGACATCTGAATGCTCCCAGACTGCTTGCAGCAGCAGATCCAGTCTTAAACTGCCCTGTCCCTTCCAGGAAAGGGCAAAAGATGGAGAGGAAATCAGACTCTTTGCTGCTACTTCTGCAACATTGTCTTTTGAGATGGGGGAGGCCAGGTCCGCTCAAGACGAAAATATCCTTTTTCAGGCTACTGCTCGCAGCTCAGAAGAGGAAAGACAGGAAGATCAAAGCCCATCATACAGGTCTTTAAGGACACCCTAAGAAAACCATGTCTTATTTATATTAGCAGTTCTAGACTGGAAAGGAACAAGCAAGATACATGCTGGAAATCAGACATGAAAATCAAAACTAGGTTTCAAATTTCACTGGGCTCTGTGTTTACTTAAAGTGATAAGCTTATTTACTCAGACTTACACTCACTTATGAGTATATACAAAATACATCATGTAACAACAGAAACAAGCTAGGAGAAACGCACCCTTGGGCAACTGCATCCTTGTACCATAGCACATTGTACCACAGACTAGGACCGCTACAAAGTCACCAGGCAATATACTCTGATGATTGACGCTTTGTATATGTAGCTGTCATTGACCAAAATGTCACTATGTGGTACACAACTCTATGTGGGAGGAAAAAGCCCCCATTTCAGGCAGAAGTCCATACACTGCAGCTTGAGCCAACCCCAATTCCCCTATTGCTACTAGGAGCTGCTAAACCTTAAAAGGAATACTGTCTGACTCACGCCAGACAACTGGCCCCTTAAGAACACTTTTATAATTTATTTATAGCTTAATATATTCCAGTGATAGGATTAATAAATCATGTTTTCATTCAACTGATTTTCTCTGAGGTATGAATTTCTCCATTTTGATATCAGATCTTAACATGTTTTATTTTGCTTGTCAATTTTCCAGTTCATTTTTGCAGCTACAGGGAGAAATTTATTGGTCTGTATTGCCGCCTTTCTGCTGTTGTGGAACTGGATTCTCTGAATACCCAGCAGTCCCTAAGGGAGGCGATCTCAGACAGTGAGGTCGCCACTGCCAAACAGAAACACCAGCAAGTCTTAGACTTCATCCAGGTAAGAGTTCGTCTCTGTTGCAGTGGAAGGGGGGAAGGACAAGCAGGGGAGGAGAATACCACGCATGGGAAAGAAAAGCAAACTCGATAGCTCAAAGCATTCAGCGTACAAGCTGCCTGGGGACTTGGTTAAATGTGTGTTTGCAAAGACTTAAGAAAAAACTACACATAAAATCAGAAAATTACTAAGAACCATTATCAGCCACCACCATAAACAATGGTGGCTTTCTATCTGAGTGAGAAAATTCACCCCCGGTAATAGCAGAATATTACTCTTACCTGAAGAAGTAGAATATTATGCTTACCAGGTAGTCCCTAGTCATTTCAACAAAATGAAAAACTATTGATTAACTCAATATTTGAGAGTGGGAAAAGGAGAGGAAAGAGGGAAGGGAGGGGACAGGAGAGAGAATAAATAACCTACTAGTATATGTTAACCTAGATCCAAACTGATCTAAGAATCTTCCAGTTTGGGACTTCTGTCTAACTCTGTTGACAAGTTAACGTGTGACTACGGTTGGAAGATGTGTTCCTGGTCTTGTCTGGAAAGGCCTGATGGTGACAACTCAGGGTGGTGAAAGAGATACTGCCTCATAATCAAAAGGATCTGAATTTTGGCCTGAAGTTGTCTCTAAATTCCTCATTTTTTTAAAAGATTTATTTATTTTTATTGGAAAGGCAGATTTTCAGAGAGAAGGAGAGACAGAGAAAGATTTTCCATCTGCTGGATCTTCCATCCAATGGTTCACTTCTCAAGTGATCGCAACGGCTGGAACTCAGCTGATCCAAAGTCAGAAGCCAGAAGCCAGGAACTTCCTCCAGGTCTCCCACACGGGTGTAGGGTCCCAAGACTTTGAGCCATCCTCAACAGCTTTCCCAGGCCACAAGCAGGGAGCTGGATGGGAAGTGGGTCTGCCAGGATTAGACAGGCACCCATAAGAGATCCTGGTGCTTACAAGGCAAGGACTTTAGCCTCTAGGCCATGGCACTGGGCCCCAGTTTTGTTTGTTTTGTTTTGTTTTAAGATCCATTTATTTTTGCTGGAAAAGCAGATCAGATTTACAGAGAAAAGGAGAAAGATCTCCCATCCACAATGGCCAGAGCTGGGCTGATCCAGAACTAGGATACCGGAGCTTATTCCAGGTCTCCCACATGGGTGCAGGATCCTGAGGCTTTGGGCCATCCTCCACTGCTTTCCCAGGCCACAGCAGGGAGCTGGATGATAACTGAAGCAGCTAGGACGTGAACCAGCACCCATCTGGGATCCCGGAGTTTGCAAGGTGGAGAGGTTTAGCCAACTGAGTCATTGTGCTGAGCCATCTAGTTTTATTCATAAAGCATTTCCCACAAACTTTTAGAAGAACTCTCACAGACTTAGTTCAGTTTCATAAATACTACATATCCGATGTCAGGCACTAAATGAGAAATAAAAATGAATTACAAAGAGTTCATTGAACTCACAAAAATTTAAAATCAGGGTAGATAAGAAATGTCTGTAAATACTATTTGTAAAATGTGTTAGGTGCCTAAAATAAATACAATATATATATATATAAATTCTGTACCAATAAGAAGATATTAAAAAATTACTTTCAACTATTATAAGAAAGTTGACCTACGGAACATAACCACTATATAAACTGGGTCTAAAGCGATTTTATATATATATATGATTGCAGTTAAGAGAAATGCAATGCAGAACATTTACAGAGAAAATGTAAACACACAAGGAAGAGAGCAGAATAACAGTATTTGAGGATTGAGTCAAGGGCTTTTGGAGCATAAACTGAATGATGAGTAGCAGTCATACATTAGGTAAGAAAGAGGACAATGAGATCAGATCAGACAGACTTTACCAAAGGCCAGTACAAGAAATGTGCGCCCTCTCCTACCATCAGTAAGAAGCTGACATTCTAGAGGAACTCAGTATATCACAACTTCGCTTAGGATAGATTCAGGCAGGCAGGATTTCTTTTTTTTTAATACACGTTGATTTGGCCATATGGATTGCTTATTAAAAGCATTCATTCTTACTCATCATGCTCAAATATTTTGCGTATCTTTCCTAGATTTAGGGAGAATTTCTAAAGACAGGGAAACTAGGTAAGTTATTATAATCCTCTAGTTTAGGATTGGGGAACCTTTTAACTGGCAAGGACTATTTGGATGTTTATATTCACAGGCCATACAAAGTCACTTAAAAGTTAGCCTGCAATAAACTTATTGAACTTCAGGTCCCACTTGTGGTTGCTTTGACAGAGCCAGACCAAATTATTTCACAGGCCAGATGCTCACCATGCCTGATTTAGATGAAAAATAACACCAATTACATTGCAGAAATGCTGTGAGCTCTGGGCAGTTTAATCCAAATTTCAATCTCCTCATTTGCAAAATAGGAGTAATAAAGCGCTCAGAATGTTACATGAAAGAGTGCATGAGATAATGCATGTTTTCACTCAGTGAAGTATCCACACATAAGTAATAAATTCATGCATTCAATGGTAAGAAAAATTCTAGAAGAATTCCTTTGAAATATGAATTTGCAGGAGTTTAAGTACTCAAATGATGATACCAAGATAACTTGTCAAGTGATGAACAGATAGATGTTTAGGATTTCCTACTTTAGTAATTCTCTATATGCCATAGGTTGGGTAACCTCTCGTAGTAAAGAAATAACCTTCAAAAAAGTTACTTACGGTGCTAAGAGTGTGCAATTTAAAAATCCAAATTATTGGTTTTATTTCATCCTAGCGTAAATGGAATATAGATAGTGAGGAAGGAGCAGAAACAAAGGCAGGAACCTGAGAACAATATGGAAGGCTGCCTCATCTTTGGAATCCAGTAGCCTTCTACAGTGAAGAAGGGCAATAGCGCAACAGAACTCAAGACGCCCACATTTTTAATCTTGAATCTTCTACTGATAAAGATATCAAGGACTTCAATTTCTTCATATGTATAATGAAATGAATGAACTAGACGATTTACAAAGACCTGACTGGGTGCTGGCATTTTATGACTTACCAACCAGAAATATTTTGAGAGAAATACACAGAAACTAAAGCATAGTTAAGAAATATGTCTTATTTCACTTAAGTCACGGAGAATTCAATACCTTCACCCCACAATGCTGCTTTCTTCAGTCTGCGGGACTCAAATCCCTCCTGGAGCTCCTGGCTTCATTGTCATTCACTGAATGATATGCTGGCTCCTTTCTTTTCTGTGTAGCCTAGGACTGCACTACCTTTTGTGTCTTTGCTTTTCACCACACCATTAAGAGGGCTGGATAAAGGCAGACCAGGCCAGGAATTCCTCAAAGTTCTCTCCTGCCCTGCTCTCCCATAGCAGGTAACCCGAGAGCTCCTCTTCCCTTCCAGCTGGCCAGGTACACATAGACTTGGATAAAAGCCAATTCCCAAGAGGTTCAAAAAATAATTTCTTGGCCAGGGTAAACCAGACCATCTCCCTGTGCCCACAGGCTTTATTAGACTACTTTGTGCTACCCAATGAGTAACTTCACTGAATGCCAATAATTCGAGGTCAAGTCCCACCCCACTGCCCCTTATCTGTGTTGACCAATTCTCTCTTGCTCTCTTCTCAAAATGAAAACCAGCTGCTGCCACTCACCCATTGGTGTTCACAGTTCAACCCACCATACGCCGTAACCTACAGAGGCAACCGCCAGTCACGAGAGCATTGGTATGAATCCAGATCTAAGACAGTGTTGAAGTCACTACACAAACCAAACATTGTAAAGAGCAAGAGAGTCTATGTAAATACAGCGGGGAAAGGCTGCCAAAGAGTACAGCCAGAAAAGGGTAGGGCTGAATCAGGGGAGGTGTAGAAAATCACAGATAAGGCTTTAAAGACAACACATACAGCAGAGACGTCAATGAGCAAGAAAAGAAGAAGAAGAAAAGTCAAAGTGTGGAGACCTGGAACCTGGCCTATTTTGAGCTGCTAAAGCCTAAAGGGCAATTAGGCTGTAATTTATATACTGTAATGCTTCAAACACTTCTAAGTCATACTAGAAGCACAGCTCATTGAATTGAGCCAATCCATCATCCCCCCCCCCACCCCGAGCACCTTGTAACTGAGTACTGAGAGAGCCAATCACCTTTGCATTTTAATAAAAATATTGTCTTGCCTGAGCACACAGAAAGGGTGTAATTTATGAGATGAAAACTGAAAATTTTAAAGGACAAAGTGAGAAATGGATGCAGAAGTTCTAATCAGCAAACCTAGAGAGTTTGTGGTCTTTTCAAAAACGTGTCAGCACGTCTTTAGAATCTGAAGTTGGATCTTAAAATCGGGGGGGATTATGTTGTCAGTTGCCTTTAGATTAACAGTATAAGGTAAAATGGGTGAAAATTGGACTTTTTTTTGGATATGCTTAGCTAAATAAGTCCCTTTAAACTTAATCCACAGGTTTCCTTGTACCTGTGGTGGTGGCATTTTACTTAGGCTAAGACCTCTTCATCTCACTGCTGAGAAAAAAAGAAGCAAACACTGTTTCAACCAAGTAGGAGTAATTTCTACACAAAATCTGTCAATCTCCAGAATACACAGAAACAATATAATCCAGAGAAAAACAGATGCACCACTGTCAATCACTGTACTCATTTCTGAGGGCTACTGTGATAAATTAGCACTAAGTGGACAGATTAAAACAGAAATTTATTCTCTCACAGTTCTGGAGAACAGAAGTTTGAAACTAGGCTGTTGGGGCTGCATCTATTCTGACTCTTCAGCTTCTGGTGGCTACTGGCCTTCATTGACTTATCCATCTGTACCTGTGGTGGCCACCAGAATTCCGCCTCCTGTGTCTGACAAACCTCCCTCTGTTGCATTTGTTTCAGAAAGTCCTTAGGATGGCATTTGTTGTTTGCAAGTAGGATCCACCCAATCCAGGGCAATCCTCTTTTCAACAACCTTAATGTAGCTGCATCTTTTGCTACCATCATGTACAAAACATGTAAAACAACAATCCCTGCCCTTTGGCAGGCCCTCTAAAAACTGTCTACAGACTGACAGTTCCTTGAAAATAACCTGCAATAAGAGTGTAATACAAGAGGTAGAGCCAAGAAAAGCCATCTAAGACAGCACCAAGCATATGGGGAAAATTCATGTGATTTCTAGCTGGGATCCCTACCTTGGTTTTACCAGTTGAACTTCAGATAATCTCTTTGAAACGGCTTAGAACATACCTCATGGGCCTGCCCTACTGTTGAACTTTCTGCCCAACTCCCCAAGCTAACAAAGACTAAATAAATGCTCAATCTTACACTTTCATTACCAGCTGTGAATACTCTACTAAGCCCTATCATCCCATTACGGAAAAGAACTAGAAAGCAAGGGGAAAGGATGGTCAACCATGCAGTGCCACACTGTACTTCACTCTAGTTGGTCATTCTGAACATGGCAGACACACAATGTCGGACTCTGCTCTGTTGAGAGCACCAGATGTGAGGATATTCTTTTTAAAAGCAGGTTTTTAAGTACTGCTTAAATACATAAGAATCAAGAATACTGGGTAGCACCTTTTATTTAAAACCTCTACAACTCAGATATTTTAACATTGACCTTCTTCTACATAGACCTTCTTCTAAACTGCAAGGAAAAAAAAACCATTAGAGCTAGAAGAAGTTTTAGACAACAGCTAGTCCATGGCCCAAGCTACTCTTTATACTTGAGTAAAGATGTCCAAGAAGTTAGGAGACTTAAGCACAGAGGGAAATTATTACCACAAAATCCAACTACTATGGAAAAATGTGTAATTAATTGCCCTTCCTGAAGATGGAATAAGTAGAAAACTCATGATCTGAGTGTAACAAGAGCTGGGAAAATCTGTCATCTACATAGTCAGATATAAATGGCTTTTATAACAATAGGCTTCAACAAAACTGCTATTGTATTTTGAAATAAAATTCTCACCAAAATCATTCTAAAATAAAAAGAACAATCTGAAATGGGTTACTTTAAGAAGTTAAGGATGTGTAACTCACTTAAGGAAAAACTATCTGGGCTCAGGACAGTAGCCTAGCAGCTAAAGTCCTCACCTTGCACACACCAAGATCCCATAAAGGACCTGCTTCCCTTCCAGCTCCCTGCCTGTGGCAATCAAGGACAGCCCAAAGTCTTGGGACCCTGCACTTGCATGGAAGACCTGAAAAGAAGCTCCTGGCTCCTGGCTTCAGACCGGCTCAGCACCGGCCGTTGCAGCCACTTGGGGAGTGAATCATCAGACGGAAGATCTTCCTCTCTGTCTCTCCTCCTGTATCTCTGACCTTCCAATAAAAAATAATAAATCTTTTAAAAAAGAATAAGCTATCTAAGCTATTTTGAACTTTATTTCTTACATATGAAGCAAGTGCTTCTAAACAATATGAAATGTTATCTTTTAAATTAACATAGATGGAAGAATCTCTGCTTAGCAAAATCAAACAGCAATACTTTGTCTTCTGGCCTGGTGTGGTGGTCTAACAACTAAAGTCTTCACCTTGCATGTGCTGGAATCCCTTATGGGTGCCAGTCCATGTCCTGGCAGCCCCACTTCCCACCCAGCTCCCTGTTTGTGGCCTGGGAAGGCTTTTGAGGACGGCCCAAAGCCTTGGGACCCTGCACCCATGTGGGAGACTGAAGAATCTCCTGGCTCCTAGCTTCAAATCAGCTCAGCTCCAGCTGTTGCAACACTTGGGGAGTGAATCAGATGGAAGATCTTCCTCTCTGTCTCTCCTCCTCTCTGTATATCTGACATTCTGATAAAAAAAAACTTAAACTGTCTTCTCCACATTATCCCAATAAGGAAAATCATATCCTGAAGGCAAGTTACACTGTATATGTATGAGTAATGCACCTTTAACCATTAAAAAAACAGTTTAACATATATAACTTTACCCAATCACCACAGTAGCCCTGTGAGATATTAAAGGAAATATGTTTTGTCAACATTTAACAAAGACATTAAGGCTCAAAATGATCACGTGACATGCTAAAGGTAAGTGATGTATCCTAGATAGAATATTGACCTTCTATGATTTGCATTAAATGTTTGGCATAGTCTCTCAGCTTAAAAAATGAAAAATACCAGTAATTAAAAAGAGGAGATATTTTCTGGCTTAGAAAAACTATGATTAAAATATTTTACTCTTGCTCAAAACCAGTATTGCAGAAAATGAAATCTCTTGAAATCGTATTGATTTTAATAATAACTTTGATAACTTAATGTCATATCCTTTTATTCCAAAGCAAATAGATGAAGTATGGCGTGAAATGAGATGGATCATGGATGCTCTGCAGTATGCAAGATACAAACAGCCAGCTTCCGGCCTGCCCATCACTAAGCTGATAGACCCCTCAGATGAGCAGAACATAAAGAAGATCAATTCTACATCATCACAAATGGACTGTCTTCCATCACCGTCACCATCCCCAGAGATGCACAGGCGAAAGGCAACGAGTGGTAAGCAGTAAGATCCACAGTTCTCTACCTCCCTTACCAGCCTACCAGTCCTCTCCCCAATTGGGAAGTTCTTTGTGCTAAGCAGTTGGCTTTATAAAGTAATAGAAAATACCATTCACTGTTGGAAGCCTAGAAGTATTGAGGGAACAAAACTAGAGCAACGGAGAGATGAGAAATGAATGGAGAGATGGGAAACCTGCAAGTAACTGTTTAGATTCCAGTCTAGTTCTGGACCAGGACTCCAAGATACAAAAGGACATCGAGCAAAGATAAGATTTCAAACATGCAGGCAAAGGCCGCATCGGGCAGGACAATCTGCCCAAAATCAGAGGGGATAGGGAACAACAACAACCAAAGCTCTACTAAAGAGGAACTGACATGACTGCAGCAGGAAGCATTCCCAACCTGGGTAACATTTCCAAACTAACATCCCACCCACTCAGCACCAGTGTTCTGGGGTGGCACCAGGAGAGAAAGAAGCCTAGACCACTGAAACAGAAGCCAAATCTATAGCTTAGAATTGCAATGGAATAAGAAAGACTTACAGAATACCTGGAGGAGAGGCATAGCAAGACACCTCCCCACTTAGGAATTAGTCCCCAAGTCAGCATGCAAAATACAAAAGCAAAACCATGACTGAAATTTCTACCTTTATAATTAAAAAAAAAAAAGATGAATCAAAAGCAACTCTCTATCATGTTCTTTCTCATGACATGGTAAAACTAGTGCCATTTTTCCTAATGAATTCAGAGGATAGTCATTCAACACACTTTAGAATGACTTACAAATGTTTCAACATGTTCATACTTCACAGTATTTTTAATAGACAGTTCTGAGTTGGGGGCTTATCCCATAGGGGGCAGCATGGTATAGCACACAGAGTTTGGGCTTAGAACTCAGAGATGTGGATTCAAATCTCAGCTTCATTTAACTGGCTGGTATGAGCTGAACAGGTTACTACACTTGAGTCTTTAGTTTCCATCTATGTAAAATAAGGATAATACAAAAATACAGAAATAAACAGTATGTATCAGAGATACATAGAACATACTGCATATATGATGTATATTAAAATGTTATAGACCTATTTAATGCTACCATTATTAAAAATATTAGTAAGGAGACAATTATTTTCTACAAGTCAGTATGTACACCTATGTTTTAAAACCTCCAACGTCTGAAAACAAAACTTGACAACTAAAAGAATTAATATTATCAAAGGAGCCTATAACTTATAAAGTTACTCAAAATAATTAAACAGATGGTTCTAGAGTGTATTTTTATAAATTCCCACTATAATTGAGTGCAAATATTAGCCCTAGTCCAATGAGTAGCAAATACATTAATCAAAAATTGTATGGCAACTGCCTATGTGCTGTAGTCTCTGTAGGAAATGTTAAGCCTTGAATTTTACAAGATCAGGTATTTCTTCCTGGCAGAGACAAAACTCAGTACAGTTCTGCCAGAAGGAGTTGAGCAGTAAAAGACAAGGAGAACATTAGATGCAGAAGCAGCAAAGTGTACAACTTTTGTAGTTAGGAAAATGCAAGCAGTGTGGCTAAGACTCTGGACCTAAAGATCCTTCTCATTCTTTTTGGCTTTTAAAATACAGTTACTGGTTACTCACTGGATACAGTGATGAAATAAGGTCTCTGCTCTCAAAGAACCGACATTCTAGAAACAGTAACAAACAATGAAAACACAAAAAATAGTATTACATAGTGAAAACTCCAATGCATAACACCACGCAGTCATCAGGAAGAGAGTAGGCAAGGAGATGCTGATTTCGCTAGAAAGAGCAGCAAAGACCTATCTGTGAAGATGACATTTGGACCGATGACAGAAAGTAGAGGCAGAAATGTAAAGATCTGTACTGGAATATTCCAGACAACTAATCAGCAAAAACTCTGAGAGCAAGGGATGGAAAGTGGGTCCAAGTCCTTCGAGAAGAGTGCGTGAACAAAGGGGCAAGTAGTAAAAGATAGGTTGAGATTCAAGAGGAGGTCTGAATAGGCACAGTTCTGAACCCTGCAAAGTCTGGAATTAATCCTCCTTGGGACAGGAAACTACTGGAAAAGCATAAATGTTGTCTTTCGTATGAAAACATCACAGAGAGAATATTGGAAGCATGGAGTTCAAATTAAGAACTAGTAACAAAGGAGACACCAAATTTTCAGGCTTAGGTGACAAAATATCATTTATCAAAACACTAGGGAGGGTGCCATGGCATGAAGGCCAAGCCTCTACCTAGAGTGCTGGCATCCAATATGAGCACTGTTCTCCTAAATCAGTGCCTTGCTTGAGACTTGAGAAGTCAGCAGATGGCTCAGGCCCTTGGGCACCTGCACCTGTGGGAAAGGCCTGGAGGAAGCTCCAGGCTTCAGCTCAGCTCCCGCCATTCTGGCCACGGGCAATGGGCCAGCAACAGAAGAGTTCTGTCTCTCCTCTCTGTAACTCACCTTTCAAGTAAAACTAAATCTTCACAATTTATTATTTATTGATTGATATTGGAAAGTTAGAATTACAGAAAGGAGAGACAGAAAGATCTTCCATCCACTGGTTCACTCCCCAAGTGACCACAACAGCCAGAGCTGAGCCAATCCGAAACCAGAAACCAGAAGTTTCTTCCAGGTCTTCCATGTGGGTGCTACTTTCCCAGGCCACAAGCAGGGAGCTGGAAGGGAAGTGGAACAGGTGGGACATGAACCAGCACTCATATGCGATCCTGGTGCATGCAAGGCAAGTGCCTTTAGCCACTATGCTACCATGCTGGGCCCCAAAATAAATCTTTATTTTAAAAGTAACAAATGAAGAGAAACAAGCCTAAATGGAACAGTTTGTTGAATCTGAGCTTGCTTTGGGACATTCCCCACCAAGAGAAAAAAAAAAGAAAGAAACATCCAGGAAAATACAAGATGTATAGTACCAGAGCTCAGGAAAAGAATCTGGATAACACACATTTGAGAAACTGTTGACATGTGCATGTTTGAGCCCTGAAAATGATTGTGACCCCTTAGAGAATGGGCAAAAAGAAAGATATGACTGAGAAACAATCCCTTTGGAATGAAACAGCAAGACTTCTTAGACTAAGAAGGAACAACTAGAGAAAGAAGATTAAAAAGAGTAAGCAGTGTCACAACAATTAAAGTGTCCCAAATGGTAGGGACACTTTAATTGAAATCCCAACTGAAATCCTTCCTGCTTTTTTCAATGAGGGAACCATCAGTGACTTCAATGAGAGTGGTTGGGAGAGCTAAAAATTTGAACAGAAGTAGATCAGAAACTGACTGGAAGGAAAGGAAGCAGGACCAAATGATACACTGTTAAAAGTCTGGCTGTGAAAGGTACATGAAGGGAAGGCAATGGCTATAGAAATACAGGTTCAAAGGACATTGTTGAAGGCAGAGAGTGATGCTCTTTGATATCCCACTGTTAGTGTAACTCTAGTTCTTCCTTCATGGTTCAGCTCCTCTCTCTGCTCACAGGACTTTCCAGTGTTGAATCTCTTGGCCACAGGGACCCAAGTGGGTTCCTCCTTGGCTGTATGAGGGTGGCCTCCTCTGTGCCACAGAAATGCTAGATTCACAAGGGCTGGGGGATGGCGTTACTCACTCCCTGCTGAGTGTATCTGGCCAATTACACTTGGATTTTATTATAAACTTAAATGTTAGTGATCATCATTCTGTTTCTTAAAATATAACTCTCTCTTGGGTCCATTTATTTCTCTGAAGCCAAGATTCCACAGGCTGTGAAACACAAAGACGTGGAAGGCAGCAAATGACAAATGGAATCCAGCGACAGGGAAGTACTGTCGAGAGCTGGGGAGAAGCGCTGAGCATCCCATCCCCTCCCAACAGCAAAAAAAAAAAAAAAAAAAAAAAACATTTCAGAGCAGTGAGATCCACCACAGCCTACCCGGTTTTCTCCACAAGTGTGACCACTTTGAATTGTTTGGAAACCATTAATGAGAGGGGAAAATATCCAATTTAGAGGAACATCCCGCTGGGGTTACTCACAGGACAAAGTCTGCACACAATTGGGTCCTGTGTGGGTCAGGTTCACCTAATTTCTAAGAGGCCTGCTGAAAATACACAACGTATCACAAACCTGGCCTCTGGTCCTAGTCCAAGATTCTGCTCTCAGGCTGCTGAGTCCTTTGGATTTGTTTGTGCATATCTGTTGGAAATGGCATGGGGAGGTGGGGAGTGGAACTCTTTCAATTACTTCCTCTTTCTGGGTGGTTTTCAAAACACAAAGCACAGCTCCTCCAAGTCAATTAAAATTGAGCATCTCCCAAGGACCTAGGGGGAAAGTTGACTCCTAGAAAAGGCGGTTGGAGGCAGGGGGTGGAATGATTGGGTCTGTCTCACGGATATTTCCTCTCCCACTCCTTTTCTGTGGGTATAGCGGTCACAGACAGCAGCAGTTGTTTTTGTGTTTTTGTTTTTTTTCCAACACCACTGTTTCTCCTAGTGACGCAGGGGTGAAGCAACAGATGGAAGGGGGCGTTGTTTTCTTCAGAGGTATCTGAAAATTATCCTCATCTTCCAAATGTAAATCTGCCTAGTAACCTTTTCCCAGATGATGTTAAAAACACCATAGTATAAACCAAATAGCTAAAAATAATAATGGTCTGGAGATGTTTCCTTATTTCTTTTTGAGAAATCAGATAGTGAACAAACTTCTGAGATTCTACCTAAAGGCTAATGAAACAAGATAGTCATTTATAAATTATTTAAATTCTACTAAACACAGTATAAACTAGATTCAGTGAAGGACAATACAGACAATGATATACTAAAAAAAATGTAGTTAAACCTTAGGAAAGTCTGAGTTATTATTCCTTTCTTTCTGCCCTGTGATATCTCCAACCTTTAAGAGAAAAGCCATGGCTTTAAATCAGTTACTGTTTCCTGAAATGTCATCTCCCCAAAACACCCTCAAAATCCACATCAACTCAACTCGACTCGGCTGTTGAGCTGACCCACAGGAGTTGCAAC